AGAAAAATGTATAAACAATTTAATCTGCTGAAATTATTGCTGTATCAGCAACAGACAAATAGGTAAGAGCTTTTGAACGCTTTAATGTGTTTTCTTGCAGCTTTCTCCCGAAGAATTATTGTTCCATTGTAAGAACGACATTAATTGAAACACAAATCCAAATACAAATTAATGATAGAACGCATTCAGAACAAGTTCGTTAGATACCTATATTTAAAACAGTATGGTGTGTACCCCGGTTATCCACTGTTATATCCTACCCTATTTGTACTTGGCATGTTAGGCTATTATAGACTGGAAGTAAGAAGAGAAGTAGCTCTCGCCACTTACTTATTAAAAGTACTGCGTGGTAAGATACACAACCCATGTGTTCTAAACACAGTTCAGCTGTATGTACCTGACGGGTACGTAGGGCGACAACTGCTGCACAACGCGCCCCATATGCGGGCGCTGCGTGCCCTCAACGCGGCATCACACGACATTGATTTGTTCGATTGTACTCTGAATGAATTCGCACAGGCCGTATATTGTAGAATATCAATGGAAGTTTGTTATAGTTAACATGTACGTAAATATTTTGTTAGTAACTACACTATTGTATTAGGTTATACCTGTAATGATAGTTGTAAGAGGTAAAAATAAATAAATAAATAATAAATAAACATTATAACTTTGTGAATTCGCTCGGGCGCAATGATGACGTGAATGCGGTCGGATTCAGTTAAAGTTTTATTCGGGATTTGATGTTAACAATACGATGATTTCACGCCACTTACATCGGTATATGTGTCATTAGAGTAGACGCTGAATAGAGGTGGATTATTCACCTTTTTTATGAAGGACAATTTGCAGTTGACCGTCAATACGAATGCAAATAGTCTTGCATTAAAATATATTAATAAAATTGAACAAAAACCATATTTTATTTAAAATAATAAAAGATTTCCATATAACATTCCTGCTTTGTAAACAGTAGGACGTTCGGTAACTTTCGAGAAGCTCGAGTGATCGTATGGGTGTGACGTCATTTCGGTTCGATTGGAATCGAAAGAAATCGTACGATATCAAATCACATCGATCGACAACTGAATTATAGTAAGGTTCTAAATCTCTCAGAAGCGCCTAGTTGGACGAGGACCGCGGCTACTAGATACTTCCGCCAGAAAGAGCTACTGTAGAAGCGAATCTACGCGCATACACACTAAAGTCAAAATCAACTAATAATTTATTCCATATGTATTATTTTACACTTGAAAATGTATTTTTTTAAGCATTGCTCGTTCTCTGTACTGACTTCCCCGAGAAGAACGAACTAGGAACTTTAGGGGGGCTAAACTGGAGGGCTCTTCATCCTCACCGGTGAGGATGGCCTGTTCGTGAATATTTCACCGACAAGAGCTCAGCTCATAAATAAAAAAGAAGTCGCCATTCGACGTCCTAATATCAGTATTTGCACAAAATGGTTCAATGCCATCTAGCGAATTTGTATAGAAGTACAAAATGCTCATAGTCATGTTAACGTATATCATAAACTAGGCTTGGTACAAAATATTTATGATATCAAAAGAAGGGTGGTTTAATGGAGTTATAGTAATGTAAAAGGTGCACAGCAAACGTTGCTATTCAAGACGTTTTTGTTTCAATGCCTACTACTAAATTGGAAAATAAATTTCTTAGGCTGCGGATGAGAGTCCTGTTATGTGGACCCTTCGCTACTAATATTTAATAGGTATCGTGGAATGCGGTTGTAGCCTTGTGTCTTTTCAGTAGTCAGGTAGACGGTTCTAATCCTTATGGCGGATATGTAATAATTTTATTATAATTAAAGAAATTGAAAAAAAAAATTAAATAATAATCATTCGAACCAACGTCGTCCTGCAAACCGTGCAAGACGGTATGCCAACTAAATGACGGACACGACTTTTGTGTCGTAGCGCCATCTGTGAGAAATCGATTTCATCACTCAGCCAGGTGCCTTTACAGCTACCAGCAGCTAATGAATGAATGAAAAAAAAAAAAAAAAAAAAAAAAAAAAAAATGAATTAGAGATGTCGCTTCAATAATTGTAATTTTTAAGTTTATTGAATATCACGGTGTTCGACCATCATGATAATATTTTTTCAATTATTCAATTTTTCTATTATTTTTGTGAAATTAAAATTTCCAAACATCCAAAAAATAAACTTAAAAATTACAATAATAATTATGTCAGACAACTACACTGGAACTCCCAAACCAGAACCAGTTCATAAAAGTTCATTTTTCAAATTGATTCTACCGGGAATCGAGTCCGGGACCTCCTCGTCAAGCCCTCAAAGTGCAAACCTAAGCCATCTAGATCGTCAAATGTACCTATGATTTTCGTATCTCAGTTATTTTATATTGGAAATGAAACTATTTTTCCGGATTTTAATCTCGTAGGTATATTTGTTTTTCCAAAGAAACCAGCGTTTCAGGTCGACATGTCCCATGGTCACGGTTGACTGAAGAGATAAAGTTTAAATTACCTTATTTTTGAATTTTTCCAAAGAACATTTACATACATAAATATGTTAGAATTATCAACAATAATATCCTACACTGAAATATATTTTTTTTCTGTATTGCATAGCTGTATTCTGAGTGTGCTAAATGTTAATATAAATAAGATACCGAATTTTCCATTGGTTAAAATGATCACGTCGCAATATTGGGATGACAAACGCCGCCAAAACGCACCCAAACAAATGATAAATACTACGAAATCTTAATAATTATTGGTCATAATTTTTAATTTAAAAAGAAGTAACAAATTCCGGATTGTTAATATAATTTGAACTTTACCCGGTCGCTATATCGTTGAAAGTTTAACACCTTTATTGCAAGTTACGACGTTATGATTTTATGCTGAAAATTTATTCATCGTGCTGCCATCTTGTGGCCAGTATCTGGACTACGACGAACAATTAACATCTGAATCAATTCGATAAACAGAAAACAAAAAACAAACAAATTGAAAATTTATTAAAACAAGTCACCGATGTTATACCAGATACAATTCTATTTTTTTAAATCATCTTCCACATCAATTGGGTGTTTTTGATACATGACGTTATTATAAAAAACCATCGATGTATGTATGTATTTTATATAATAACAATAAATATTTAGCAAAACTATTAAAACCTCTGAATGGCTTAACCTCGTTTTCGGTACGGCACACTCTTGAGTTCTTAGCAATATTATTATTTTATACACGTAAAAGCTTTCGGGTTATTTCTAAACCACCATAACACTTTCTAAGAACATTCTAAAAGTTTACGAAAGCAATTTATATTATCGACGTCTACTTATATAGCAATACGGTGCTCTATACTTTAAGTAAATGGTCATATTAACATAATTTTATTCGCCATTTGCATCCATGAGAGGTCATAGCCTAGTGGGATAACGGTTGCTTTTTCATTGAGAAGTTGAAGCTTCGAATCCCTGTGACTTTAATTTTTAAATTTCTTTTAAAATCTTTTTATTAGACAATAAGTCAAAATATATTGGCACAATATAAGGTTAAATACTAGAAACTAGAACTATAATTACATTATATGAGTAAAATTGGGTCTCCGCGGCAGGGTGCCCAAGGTGTTGACTATGCTAAACGTTGGGCGAGGTAGCTTCCGGCCCCTTGGTTTCATAGACAGTATATTAATTTTTTGGATACAATTTTGTACAGATGAGGGGGGCACCGGGACCCCACGGGTTAAAAGTTTGGACTTGGACCAACAACATGCTACTCCTAGCGATCTTATGTAATGTGTGTGACGGTGTGACCTCCTTACACCGTCATCTCACCACTTTGTATCGCCTCTCTCCTCTCGTATATTATCATTTTTTTTATTTTACATTTATTTTACATGTATTTAAATTTGAATCGTTCCATCTTCCTTCACTTACTCATTTTGTTTTCGTACCACGGTCACTCCCAGCTCGACCGCCACAACAGTCAGAGCTGTTAATAAGCTAATCATGTGTAATAATTTATAAGTCTACAGCCTTCATGTATCTATTTCTGTAATTGAGTTTCTCGGCCCATTTAGGGGTAAGTGCCTTAATAATAAAGTGTAGGGAGTGTTTTATACTGTTATACCTGTTTTTTTACATTTACCTTTATATTGTTACAGCCTTTCTTTAAACTAGTAAAGTTTTAATAAATTTTGTGGACCGAAAGTTTCCCATTTCATTGCCGTGAACCTGTTCACGGCTAGTTAGGGTTACACGGCTAGTTTGTAGTTCATGTGTTTGTATCTGAGACGTGGCAAATGTCAATCCCAAAAAAAAGTTTTGTAAATTTAAATTAATAAAGCAATATCACAATATTATAGATATATTTTTTGTATAATATTTCAGTAAGTATTTTGTTTTTAGTCAAAAATTGAAGAGACAAAACTATGAATCAGTATGGATAATTATCAAAGAAAATATCCTGACAATTCAAAACCTGATCTAAATATTCACGCATGCCGAGTAACACGAGTAAACTAAATAAATATTTTAAAATTTGCATTTATCACTGATAATAATTAGTATGATGAAACGTATTGTGATATCTGATATCGGATATCCGGAGAGCACCTAGGCAGAAAAACTGGTCATCATCCACCATATTTATTTATACTTCAGTACTAAATTTACAGATAACGTTATCTAATATCAAAGTTCTTTTAGTTAAAAGTAATAAACACATTGTCAACGATCCTGTATTTGCTGTTTATCCTATTACTATCATCTTTAATCAATAAATCAATTTATTTGGCTTACTGATTATGAATTTTTATCAGTTTTAAACAACCGGATAGTTACCGGATATCCGTTTCATCTCTAATAATTATGTAGAAATATCTTTGGTAAAAACAACCTAAACGAGATAAACAAAATAAATGAATAACACCCAAATGTTTGCAGGCGCAATAATGATAAAATATGAATTAATGATAATTATAAAATCAATAATTATCATATTCCAGGCAATGCTGTTCTACGCACCCAGATGGCTGTGGAAGTCCTGGGAAGGCGGGAAGATCCGCGCCCTGATGATGGACTTGGACGTAGGCGTCTGCACCGAAATCGAGAAGAAGACAAAGAAGAAGCTCATCCTGGACTACCTGTGGGAGAACCTCCGCTACCACAATTGGTGGGCGTATCGGTATTATCTCTGCGAAGCGCTTGCTCTTGTCAATGTTATAGGTGAGTTCGCTTTTACTACCTTGAAAGAGTACTTAAGGCGAGGCATTTGAATGTGAGCCTAGACTTTAGGAGGTGAGGTGTGGGGGGCCGCCTCACGCGTCACGCAATCGGTGCTCAAAATTTATTTGAATGTAATAAGAACAGGCGGACAAAATTTGATACAGATCGGACGTTGACAAGTGCCCGATGGTGACTGACGGGGCAACGGACGGCGCGGCGTGTCCTTAAACCGCCGAGCAATTTTCAAATTTTGGGGATAAATGTGACTTTAATAACTATAGCAAAATTTTGCAGGTTCTCTGAAGTGCTAAAAGAAAAATATCTCCGTATAAAAATTATGTGGAAAGTTAGATATTTTATTCGTTCTAGATTTTTATTTTAGCAGTGTGCTTTAAATCACAAAGATCTGAGGAGCACAGCGCCCGTCACCCTGAGTCATAAGTTGACAAGTCCCGAGTGCCTGTAACATCACCAGCACCCTTACCCTTCAAAAGCGAAAAGATAAGGTGGCAGTACTTACCTGGACGAACTCATTCACAAGGAACTCTACTGTGGCTATCTTTGATTTCATTTTGTATGATCGGGGTAGATCCTATCGCGTAATTAATTAGCACATTCTTTAGACTATATCCTTAGGTGTATTTAATATCTAAACCATTTCATATTACAAAACAGTTTTCCCCGATGTGACTCGTCTTGAACTTTGAAATAGTCTTATCATAGTATAAGAAAATAAGTCTGATAACTCTATACAAACGTAGCAGCGCGGCTTATATTGCACGCCTTATCACTACAATATTTAATTTAAACATCTGAAATCGAGACTACCTGCAAGAGCTAAACGGGTTTTTTGTCACCCAGGTACGCAGAAGCTGTATAATAACCTTAAGTATATAGTTTTTGTTTCACTATAGTTTTAAACTTCGTAAATGGCAAATTTTGAATATCAATCGGAATAGGAAATGAAACTATTTTTCCGGATTTAAATTGCGTATATTTCCTTTTTTTCAAACAAACCAACGTTTCGGACCTTTTACAGGTCCCATGGTCACAGTTGACTTCAACCGTGACCACGGGACCTGTAAATGAAAAGACGCGATTTAAATCTGGAAAAGTATTTTCATTTCCTATTTGTAACAATCGCGAACACCTAAGAACTCAACATATCAATCGGAATCTTTATAGAAGCGTCTGCATTTCTCTTAAATTTGTTTGAAAACACATTCGTTGAAACAACTTTACCACGTGATATTTTAAAATGATTGTTTTTTTAATGGCGTGGGAACAAAATCTCGCGAAGTTTTGAAAGAAACTGGCATCTGGGAAGAAAAACTTTCAAAGATTTCTCACAGATGGCACAACGGCAAAAAAGTCGTTAAAACCAAAAACAAAAATCTATAACAAACGCATAGACCATATAGACAGACAGATTGAAGGATTTATTATTTTTCATTGTGTCAATATTTATAATATATTGGCATTGAAGACAATGACAACTGCGTTGTGTAAATGGCTAATTATGAAAAATTTTTACAGTGAGAATCATTGACTTTAATACAAAAACCACGAAAAAAATGTCCCAAGTCAACCTATTTAAACGTAGTGACATGTAAAGGAATATGAAAAAGCTAAAACGTTGAATTTAAATTGTAATGTCATCGCAGTACTGTTTAATTTTGCTTGCTTCGCTGTCAGAAGAAACAAACGAAGACTAAAGCGTGAATGACGCTCTGTATACGATTTTAACGCCCTATAAGTTCGGACACTTTTTAGCGCGGACCCGACGTCCATATAATTGTAAGTCAATGGTGAGAATACATTAATATATATTTATTTAAAATTATTATTTTGCAGGCTTTTGAATATTGACTAAATAATAGATTTTTAATCTAATAAACCTATTGAATGCAAATAAACTTCATGTTTTACGTAATTTTATATTAATTACGAGCTGCGGCTGAAAAGTAATTTTCAGTATGAAATGTACTCGTACATAGAAATAGGCAATGCGCTTATTATATTTGTTAGAAAGGGACAATATTGTGTTAAAAAAAGTTGTTGCTCATTTGTAAACATTTTGTACATTCAAAGCGAAATGTAAGAAATAAAATAAAGTCACTAATTTTGAAAAAGAAACAAATAACGAATGCGCCGCGTTAGTGACCGGTATTATTTTGACATCGAAAATAGTCAAATGATATATATACACCAAATTGTTCACTATTGATTATTATTATTTTTATTTATACACCAAGTTGTAGAGAGAAACCTCGTACGTTTTATTTTTTTCAATATTTTCATAGGAAACATGTGATCCTATCGACATCTTGAGCGTCACCAGTCCAATTTCCGCAGCCTTTCCAGCGGAAAAACTCGCACAGGACCTCGCATTGAAACAAATAATATTTTTATTTTCTTATATACTTATATAGAAACAGCTGGTGCTAGTAAATGTTCATTATTAATTGACAAAATCTGGGTTACCTATCAGTAGCGCGAAATGACATTTTCCAGAAATAACGTTTGATCGAAATTTCATAACCTCGAAAATAATTTTGAGAGGAAAATATTTTTTCTTTTAAACCTAACTTAACCTAACCGAACCTAATCGTGTCTTTGCGATAAACATTTAACATATCCTGAAAGAACAACTGTATCGTTATAATTCGGTTTTCGGTGTAATGAAAATTCGAACAAACGGTATTTCGGACAAAAAAATTTTCGACTTTGTGATAGGTTACCCGAACTCTGTGATCGACTGGCTTGCACACCGGTTTTCATGGTGTCGCCATCTCTGAGGTCCCGCTTTCGATCTCCGGCTAGGGAAAAAACAACTAACATTTCTGTATTGTCTCGGGTCCTGGGTGTTTGTAGTACCGTCGTTGGTACCGATTTTCCATAATACAAGTGCTTTATTATGTTTGTTTATAGAAAGATCGAACACTAACAAAAAACATGCGATCCGGCTGGATTCGGACCTGTGATTTTTGTATTAATAATTATAACAAATTAGTGGAATAATTTCACCTGAAAATTATTGAATAACAATTCAATAAAAAATTAAATACAGTGAAACAACTTTATACTAAAGGTTATACAGCTTATTCGTACTTAGATGATAAAAATCAATGGTAGTGACCCGTTTAGCTTTTGCAGGTATTCTCGATCTAAGATGTTTGAAATAAAGATTGTAAATGATAAATGTATTCAAATATATATTTACCAAAAGCCATAACTAGAGTTTCTTGCTCATTCTTCTCAGGGCAATCTGCCTTGTGAATGAATAGTAGAATTTAATCAATGTTACGATTTCAAATGTAATTTGTTTACCTATGATATAAAGATTATATGATTTTGACTTTGCGTCAACCGATGCGAGACTCTACGAGCGCTACGGCGTAGCATTCGTAGGTGTTACGATTAGATTGTTTACAAAGATCACCAAGCCTCGTCGAGGGTGCACCTGCCGGGGCTATATTTGCTTGCAGGGGCACGCCGCCAATAACAAAAACAGGACCGCGAACGGAATTCGCTGTCCTTGCGGCTCTTACATATTGGGGCCACTAACAAAGCGGAGTATTCAAGATACCTATGTGCTGGTGAAATCATAGGCACACGGGACTTGTCAACTTATGTCTCAGGGTGACGGGCACCGTGGCAGTGCTCCTAAGATCTTTACGATACAAAGCTCAGAGTGACACTGCAACTGTTATGGACAGGCCTGTCGCTTATCAAATGTTTTCTAAAAAAAAAACTTTTTCTCTTCTTGTTATATCTGTTCTAATAACATGCGAAGTAACTATTTATTTAGCTTACTATTTATTTTTTATACAAACACTGGAGTCTTAACGTGGCGACCGCTCTTACCAACTAAGCCAGTAGATCTTACGAATTTGTCTATATCTTTTGCTGATCTTTTGTATTGGGCTTAAATGGTTTTTTGTTTTTTTGTATTTGTCTCGTATGCGTTTCGTTATTATTCACCCGATATTTCGATGAAACTTTGATGAGTTGTTGGTACCATGCCAGTAAGTTTCTGAATTTCAGGGCCTTATTTCAATAAACATGTCTACTGCCGAACAGACGGTTTTCCAGATGCACTTCAGAAGAACTGTTTTATCTTTCGGTGGCATTGCAACGCATTCAGATAGTACATAATAAAATTTACGTCACATGGACCCTGTTAAAGCGTACCTAATAAAAGCTAGTATATATATTTCCTCACGATATTTTCCTTCACCGAAAAGCTGACGGTAAATTTCAAATTAAATTTAGCATTAATTCCGAACAACTAAGAGGTAAGCTCGAATTCGAACCTACCACCTCCGCTTGAAAGGTGGTAGGTCAAACTATCAAGCTGTCACGGCGTAGCTATAAAAAGCTCTACTGCTACTAAATAAAGAGCAGTATCTAGCATATAATTCCAAAATATAAATAAAGTTGTAGGGGAAATACGTTCAAAATGACATAGGGTTTTGTTATTTAGTCATAATTATTTAGTGGTAATACACAGCGCAGTCATATTCTACACCAATAGCCTTTGGTTCATTATTTACTGAAAGTAATAAACATTTACAGAATAAAAACAACAGGAAAAAATAATTCGTAGTTTAACTGAGATCAGCCAAAAACCATTTCGTCCATATACAATGGACAGCGACGGCTCTGAGACGGATGAAAGGGGTGAGTTCACGCTTTGACAGGTTGGTAAAAGTCACTTGGGTCATATGATGCAGTTGTCAGTTGCGTGCTAGAGTCCTCCAATTTCAAATTTCTATGTCATTTTGTTCATATATGTCATTTTGTACGTATTTCCCCTACTATCATTGACTTACAAATAAATGGACGACGGGTCTAATACAAAAACCACGAAAAAAATGTCCCAAGTCAACCTATTTAAACGTAGTGACATGTAAAGGAATATGAAAAAGCTAAAACGTTCAATTTAAATTGTAATGTCATCGTAGTACTGTCTAATTTTGCTTGCTTCGCTGTCAGTCGAACAAACGAAGACTAAAGCATGAATGACGCTCTGTATACGATTTTAACGCCCTATAAGTTCGGACACTTTTTAGCGCGGACCCGACGTCCATATAATTGTAAGTCAATGTTAAAAATCATAACTTTTTTATGAAAATACATCTACTAGCCAGCTTTTACTGAAATCAGATACCGGAAACCGGTTTCAATCCCTAGTTTACCACCCTTACAGGTGGAATATTTTCTTCCATTTTTTTTTATAACACCAAGTGACGGGACGAACAAGTCGTGCGCCTGATGGTAAGCTACACGCCTGTCCATAACAGTTGCAGTGCCACTCAGAGCTTTAAATTGCAAAGATCTGAGTATTGCTACTGCGCCCGTCACCCTGAGACATAAGTTGACAAGTCCCATGTGCCTGTAATTTCACCAGCACCCTAATGCTGACATTACTGCTTGGCGGCAGAAATAGGTAAATGGCAGTACTAACCTAGACGAAATCTGTCACTCTACTGCTGTTAAAATTGCTCAAGGAAGTATCAACTTGAGGCTCTTGATTCGATCGATTGAGCGCAGCGCCAGGAGACCTTAGGCGAAGACTTAGACAACCGGCACAAAGTTCTACGTATAACTCCGTTACTCCTGTAGCAACTACGCTGTCTTCGCAGCGGATCTGGCATGTAACTTAAATGTGCATCCGGTAAACCCCAGGTCAGTGACGTATAAGTGAAGTGCCCAAGTGTCACTCATGTACTTTCATAAACTCTTAGTGCAGTGTATTAGCTCTAAGTATACTTAAAGGTAATCTTTTGTATGTAACTAATAAGGGCGGTAAACATATTCATACCCTCCCTTTGTAAACTCGTGGGAGTGAAAATACTGGTTCTCTATGCTGTACCTTTAAATTTAATTATAACATGTAACTCAAGTAAATTTAAAATAAAGCTGCTGGTTATTTCTACTTGAAACTTGTTTTCGTTGTGTGTAAGGCGCCCTTCCTTCTCCTCGCTTATAAATTTTACACGCAGCATCGGGTCAACCAGAACTCACCCACCAACCAGTCTCATGCTCACTCAAACCGACTGGAGCTGACCATTACAGTGGCCCGTCTGTCGGTTTTTTACAGAATATATTTCGGTGAGTGTGCCCATGAGCTCCATCAGCTCATCCCGCCCACTCCCTTTTACCATCGGACGTCCAGACGTACGGCGGGATATCATACATAATTGGCCGATATTCCCTTCAGGCGTAGTAAGCGCTTTTCATCATCTTTTATTATGCGCACAGCCCAGGAATGGAATTCCCTGCCTGCGACTGTATTTCCGAACTAACCGACTGAATAGGTATCTTCAGGGCAAGCTCATTCCATCGTAGATCCTATCTTTGCTCCACAGCTAGGTAGTGGTCAAGAGCAAGTAAAAAAAATAATTAAATGGAACCACGTAACGTGCATATGTACAATAAAAAAGTACAGTCGAATTAAGAAACTCCTTTTTTTGAAGTCGGTTAAAAATATTTTTATTACCTTGAATTATTTATGTTGCTTGAAATCTTGTTATTGGAAAAAACAACTAAGCACTGTGTGTTCGACTTCAGAAGAAGAAACTTCAAAAGACTTCTTTACGGTTATTGTTTACGACACATGAAAAGTGACATGAGGTGGTCGTATCAGTCCGCTAGTACAATGGCCCCGCCGTGTTTCAAACTGAAATATCAGAGGGCCATCTGCGTCGTGGGTGCCCAGCATCACCAATGGCCCGTCTGCGTTGTAAATCACGGCGTATTGAATTAAAACACACATAAAACTTATTTTACTGCACAGCCCGACTTTATGTCCGTCCGCCTGCGTGTAAAAAATGCATAACGCGGTATACACTTGACTACGTATCGCTCGTACGAGACAAGACGTTTTTATAGGAAACTTTAACGCAATGTGTGTTCTTGTTTGATTACAAATTTCGTTTATAACAAAGATAGAAGCGACCCAGTGACGAGGCGTAATTATGACTTTAATTGCATTTTATTTTTTACTGAATATCATGATGTTCTTACTACAACGACATTCGTCTTTTTTCTGCGAAAATACTTTTTAGTGATTAAATTTTTATTAAATTGATATTCAATTATTTTTTGTGAAATTACATTCGAACCGACGTCTTCTTGCATACCGTGCCAGACGCTATACCAACTAAGCCACGGAACGAACCAACGGACCTCACGAATTTTTCTATGCGCTTGCGTCGTGTCTTTGTATTTGGTTTTTCAACGACTTTTTAGTCGTAGCGCCATCTATGAGAAATCTATGACAGATTTATCACCCAGTTAGTACCTTTACAGCTACCAGTCCTGGCGAGAGATGTTGCTATTCACTGTATTAATTAAATTTTTATTGAATTGATATTCAATTATTTTTTGTGAAATTACTCCACTAGTTAGTACTTTTTAGTGGTACTTTTTGGTTTTTAGTAGAAGTAGAGCTGCTTGTGAAAGAATTTGTCGTACTTCCACCTTACCTATTTCTGCGGCCAAGCAGTAATGTGAGCATTACTGCGTTCCGGTTTTAAAGGGAAGAGAGCTACTGAAATTATTGTTTACTTTTTTACTCGTTCTTCTTAATGGAATTTCGACGATTTGAGAATAACGAGTCTGTATTAAAAAATGGTAGGATGCAGGTCTTTCAATCAAATAATGATACATCAAATATTGCTACAGTGCGTTAGTACATACTCAATTTTTCAAATTACTCTGTATTATTTTTCAGGGCAAATGTTCCTGATGAACCGGTTCTTCGACGGCGAGTTTATGACGTTCGGCCTGGACGTGATAGCCTACATGGAATCCGATCAAGAGGATCGAATCGACCCCATGATTTACATATTTCCCAGGTAACATTGGCAAATTTTGAAATATGTATCAAATGAATACGACAAAAAGTTATTACAATTTATAAATACATGTCGTACAAAGTAAAGGCACAAAACTTTCTGAATCATCAGTGGAGCAGTGCCAAGTAACTTTGTATTGGTTTGCACGAAAATGGCTATCGCTCCACGTACACGAAAACTGTGAACGACAGTAGCATTTGATCATCATCTTAATTAATCACTCAACCGCTGCAGCGAGCGGTATGTAGCAATATATACATTATCCTAAAGTATTCCTTACCCTGTTTTCAGGATGGTGAAATGCACAATGTTCAACAAGTTCGGTTCTTCGGGCGAGGTGGAGCGGCACGATTCGCTCTGCATCCTGCCGCTGAACGTGGTCAACGAGAAGATTTATGTCTTTCTCTGGTTCTGGTTCGTCATTCTCGGCTTCCTTACCTTGTTCACGCTCATCTATCGGCTGGTGCTGATCTTTTCACCGCGTATGCGCGTCTATATGATGCGTATGCGCTTCCGGCTAGTGCGCCGCGACAACATCGATACCATCGTCCGCAGAAGCAAGTTGGGCGACTGGTACTTGCTGTATGTTCTAGGGGAAAACCTCGACTCGGTCATCTTTCGAGACATCATGAACGAGTTCGCCAACAAACTGAACCACAACTACCAACACCATATCCACGGCGTGCCGGACGCGTGACCTCCAATTCCCGGGTGGGTGTTCCACACGTGACTAACGTCCTTGCAGCGCGACATGGACCCACCTGTCTGAGCTGTGTCTAGCTACGTATTCACAGTATTCAGATGAATAGTAGGCCCAGTCCGCTGCCCTGCGGCACCTCGCCGTTTCCTGGACATTACAAAGTGTATCAAAGACTTCTTTAGATTAAAGAATCTTTATTCGGTACTATGTAATCGTAACAGTGCAATTAAACACGCAATAATAGTTTTTACTTAATCTTTAAGATTGTGATCTCAGGATGAATCCTATCGAAGGCCTTTTGGAAGTCAACGTCGACGGCTATCTATCCCATTAGCATAGTGTTCAACTTTTAGAAGTATTTACCGATAGTTTCGCTGCTCGTAGAAGTTCTGGTCATCGGAACCGCTTTCTCCTATAGTCTAGTAATAATCGAATCGAGCACATGAGAGCACACAAGTTAATTTTTTACACTATTAATCACTCGCTAAGGATTTGACCGACCAATAAAATTAAAGCAATAATTAAAGGATCCAATTTAATTAGTAGTGAGTAGGTAACTAGTTGCAATTGAAAGTATTATTGGAGTGGAGGCATTCAGCTGGCGAGTATTGGAGTAAAGGCGTCTGGCGTCAGTGGTCGGCGGCGCCTCAGGCGACACGCGGCACGCCCACACGTCGACCCCGCGGGTCAGTCAATCTGATTGAAAGAGCGCGCCAAAAGACATTTTCGAATTATAAATTAGGTTCAAATGAGTATAGGTGAAATAATAAAAATCTTAAATTGTTCGAAACATAAACCAAAATTGCGAAAAATTAAAAACGAAATTGTCAATTTCGATTGTAAAAAAAATAGCGAATGAGAACAATATTCTTAATTAGGTCTCGATGAAATCTTCATCTCGGTTGATTGAATCGAGGTAACGTGTTGAAGTACCTATTAAAACGATCGTATCTGGTCGTAAGAAGGACATAGTTGTGTGTTTAAGAAGTTAGTTCGGAACTGATGTAATCACTGCCAAGACTGTAGAGTGTATCAAGTCAGGACCCGCTATGTTAAGCTTATGATGTTATGTCATCTAAACGATTGTACATACCAACTCTAAGTTGTTAATTGTATTTTATATATATAAATGTTATTAATTATTTTCGTTAATATCTAAAGTTTAGGACGTAATTGTTCTGCATCTGTTTCCAAATTGAAGTTGTTTAATTTAGTGATAAGACGAAAGTCGACAGTCAAATTGTTATTTGCAGTTATTGTTTAGTATTTAAAGTTCAGATATGACGAACCATTTTGTCTCGGGACAGTGCCTGTAATGGTAATCGCAAACCCGTCCACTTTGATGCATCACTCTCATCGAAGACTTCGCTTGGTGATAGTGCGATGCGTAATATGAATATTGCAAGTTAACACAGAAATAATCAAATTGCGGTACGTGACGTGCGGACGGATCTGCGATCACCATAACGCACAGTCTTTACTACCTTGTAATAAAGTGTTTTGTTGTGGGACTGACAGCATTTAAATATCGATCAGCGCATCAAAGTGCCTGCACGATTGGCGATTTATGTTCGTATGCATGACCCTGTTTATACGAAAGAGATAAAGATAAAAAGTAGTATTATAGATAATTGAATTAAATGGGAGTCATTATCCCTAACTTACATCTTAAAAGAGATCTTAGAGAATAACCTTTGGGTTTTTAACGTTCTCCGCTTCCTTAATATTATTCAAGATTTTGTAACAAAAGGTAATGATTTATTTACCATAATAACTTTACAGGGTTAAAAATTCAGGGGATGAAATAAATCTACAAGTGGTTTGTGTAAATGGACATAAGTGCGAATGTGTGATAGTATTCCTGCCGTGTGTCTTCATATATTAATCCACTTATTAATTATATACGTTTGTATTTTTGGGTACTAAAGCTCCTTGCACTCCACTGATGGTTACGATATTTTCACATTGTCAATTGAGTACCAAAACTAACATACTTTTTACTTACATGAGCCCGGGAAAATCTTACTAGCGAGATTCAGAAATTACATGAAACGGTACTAACGCCATTAGTATTAACAAAACCAATGAACCCTAAAATTAACTGAACGTAATTAAAAGAACACCTTTCCATAAAATAAGTATTGAACTAAATAAAGATTATTTTTAAACAACAAATTAAAAGTAAACGTGTGAAAAACGTACATTCAAACTTGTCATCCAGGACGAAGAGAGGAGATTCTCAAAAGAGAAACCCGCATAAACAATTCGCCCGCCATTATTATTTTTAACAAAAGCAAATATTACCTATAATACTATCGATTACAGGAGGTCACACCATCGAAATAAGATATTGTTTATTTGCTCTTAGCCTCTCATAATTCTATCACAATCGATCTGACCTGACATCTAAATTAGCGTAATTGAAACAATACAATCAATAGCGAAAGAGACAGATGCTCTGGAAGCAGTATTTTACTATAGCAATGGTACCGGCAATGGCAGTGTGCCGCGTCGAATAAAATTGTCAGGCGTTCCGCTTATTTAAGATTAAGGGTCGAGACACAAAACAGCGAATTCGCAACGCAGAAAATTGCGACGCATCTCACTGCCATCGTTCGGGTAACTATTCCAGTTTTGTGTTTCGACCCTAAGAGAAAATGTTATCGATGTAGATTTCTCAAGGCAAGCGGGTTACGTGTTTAAAGGTGTCTTCTTTTGTATAAACAGAGTCTTAGTAAATAATAATGTAAAAAAGGTTGTTTGTCTGTAATATTGTAAGCAGTAACATTTAGCAATGCTGATTTCCATAACAGTTCTCGGAGATTGTAACAAATAAAGCGTCGCTCGCACAGCCGCGGTGGCGCTAAAATATTTCGTCATAAATAATTGACATTTAACCGATGAACATAGGTTGTTAAGGCATAGTCCAAGTTTATATCATAATGGCGTATCACTCAAATTACTATATTTACTGTACGTGCACCCGGGCGGCTCACCCGAGGCAATAGCCTCTCAAGAACCGAATGAAGTTAAGTGACAGATGTTTGTGACCACCCTGTACCAGTGTACAGGCCATCCAGCCAGCGGTGATCTGGAGTCAGAACCTGAACTTATAAGATTCCTGTGCACATTAATGTATACGTGTCACGCCTTCGTGTACATTAATGGCGAATTCCATTTACCTTAAAATTCCTCTTAATAATACAAAGGTCGCCGCGTGGGCCAACACGTAGATTAAATTCAAGCCAGACTCGCCGGGACCCGGGACGCTCATTGAAGTTAAAACGTAACAGCTAAATAAATAGAGCATAGATGCACGCGGTCGCTTCACGGCGGCAACGCGGACTCCGCTCGGCGACCGCGGGCGACCGCGCGGGGTGAGCGTAATTAAATTCTCGTGTCGTGTCGAATAAATGGGCCTAACGTGGGGCTGTTTCAGTCAAATTAGCTTAATACAATATTAAGATGCAATACGCCAAAATGATATAAAATTAAAACCTCGCACTACAATGACTTTTTTCCGATACACCCTTTCCGCGCCTCCGCGGCTGACAGGGCGACCTAAACTGTGGCAGAGGAAGATTGTACGCTATAATATTCTATTTTCGTTTCCTAAACGTCGTCTACATACATTTGCACCCTCTATTTTCATCAGGTTATTTGCTCTTTGACAGGTAATTTTGCTTAACATAATACGAGGCAGACATTGACATGGAGGCAGACGATACTTTTGATTTTGTTTGTCAAAGAGTAAATAAGTTTACTGTACAATTTGAAAATGAATCATTAGTGACAAAAATGCATGTGAGACAATTTCTTTTAAAAAAAAAGCTAATTTTGAAACACTTCTTTCAAGCGATTTCCTTCCGAGGCTCGGCAGCATTAAGATGGTCTTTTTCTTTGAAGTTTTGTAAATTTTATTTAAATTAACCGGTCTTTTCATTAAGACCTAAATACAAAATTGTTAAAGGATACGTGTATCAAAATTAGCGTATATAACTTTTTAAATTATTGTTAATTCCAAAAAGTCGAATCCCACTTGTTTTGTTTAAACCTTTTATTATAAAACTCTAAACACTTCACTTTCATGTTTTTTGTAAACTCTAATGATAAAATCTAAATTGAAAATCATCTAAATCAACAAAAAAAGAAAACTATATTAACCCTAACTGCACAAATACTTTAAGCTTTCATATGGACAAGTGGGACTCGGTTACTTTTGTTTTCAAGTGAACAGTCTTAGTTGTGTAAATAACTCCAATGCATTATTATATTATGTTCGTAAAAGAAGAACAAAAATAACGTCTCCTTACTTTCTTAAACTCGTATCTTAAAACACAGTTACTGTAATGCGAAAAATGGATTATATGTACAAATTTTGCAGACTGCTTTCAGATACACACATTTCTATTTCACATACACATATTTACACACTGGCTTTGTTCACCTATTCTTAAAGTATTGCAACCAAATTAACACCCTTGATAAGAAATTTAAAATAAATACAAAGTTTTGCCATCTTCTGAATAAGATACGAGTTTGAGAAAGTAAGGCATCGATATGGCAAAGTAAAAGCTATAATCAACTAAAAGATGTTACACAACTAAGTATGATTCCACCACTACCAAAAATGTAGCCAATCTCTTGTCTGCCAAATATCGTGCCAAAGTAACAATATCTAGGAGGAGTGATGGAGGCGTTACCAAGGGATATCCAATAAATAATGGAAATTATGAGCTTTTTTATTATATTTTCCTTTCCATCCTACAAGGTATATGCATCTAAAGCATAAATCTAAAGAGTCTACATAGGACACTTTAAGTTTCCGGAACTGGCCACTTACATAAACAATATTTAAAAAGTAATTACAACATTTAAAAATGGAACTCTTTGGCTGTAGAATACAGTTTGTTTCAACGAATGTCACTTGTTTTTACATTGTGGCGTCTTTTTAGAAAGTGGTTGTCTACATCGCCAAGGATTTAACTCGTGAAAATTTTCGTAGTATGATTTTCTACGACTCTAAGTGTAATTGAACAGCTCAGCGGAGCTTCGCTCGGCTTCAAACTGCTTTTGGCAATAAAGCACGATGCAAGACGACTATTTATAGCTGGTTTGCAGAATTCAAACGCGATCTAATGAATTTAAGTGACGAATTTCGTAATGGTCGCTCGTCCACTGCTGTGAACAACAAAAACATCGATGCTGTGCTCCGTATGATCAAAACAGACAGGCATTTGACATACCATGAGATTCAGGTATCTTTGGGCATAGGCATGAGTCAAATACAATAAATACTACACAAACATATTGGTGTGAAAAAACTGTGCTCTCGGTAGATCCCACACAATTTCTCTGAGGCTGAAAAAATGGATCGCGTCACTTGGTGCAATGCCATGCTTACCAGATTCAACAAAGGGGCATCAAATTTGGTGTGGAACATAATCACAGGTGACGAAACATGGATTTATAGTTACGATCCCAAAACAAAGCAGCAATCGAGCGTATGGGTCTTTCGAGATGAGCCGAAACCAACCAAAGTGGCGCGCGAGCAAAGTGCATCTAAGCGGATGATTGCTTCTTTTTTTAATAAAACTGGACAAGTGGCCACTGTTGCTTTAGAGAATCGTTGTACCGTGAATAGTGATTGTCACATGACCATATGTTTGCCTGAAGTTATTGACAAACTCCGTAAAAATAGCCGTAAACGCCTTATCATCTTGCACTACGATAATGCCAGTTCTCACACGGCCAGACAGACAAATGAATTTTTGAATGTGAACAACGTTGATCTTATGAGCCATCCCGCGTACAGTCCCGAACTAGTACCTCGTGATTTTTATTTATTTCCAAAAATTAAGAACCAGTTACGCGGTCAACGATTTTCATCACCTGAAAAGGCTATCGAAGAGTATGAAAAATATGTTTCAGAGATTGTCACGGAGGAGTGGCATAAATGTTTTCAAATTAGTTAATTCATATGATAAAGTGCATTAACGCTAACGGAGAATATTTTGAGAAGCAATAAATTCTTTTCTGACCATTTATAGTATTTTTTTCTTATTCATTCCGGAAACTTATAGTGCGCCCCACGTATACAACCCAAATGGCTTTGCTTGATTCCGAATGACATTGAAAGTGTTAAACCAATCACTTTGGAAAATCTATATAGTAAAAATCTTAGTACTGAGTAATAAAAAACCGACCTCAAAAGTTATTCATCGCCTAGTTTACCACCCTTAGAGGCGGAACATTTTCTTCAATTTAAATGGGACTACTACATCTGAGGTACCATCTTTCCAGCAAAATAAGAACCATCAAAACCGGTACACAAATCCGGAGTTATCGCGTAACATAAATACTTTATAAAACATAGAGTCGAATTGCAAACCTCCTCCTTTTTTCGGAGTCGGTTAAAAGTGGAGGGTATACACCGATTACTGTGTGCTGTGAAAACGCGAATCCTAAAAATTTTCACGATCAAAAGAAACTCAAACTAACCTCGAAATTGTAGCACAAGAAAGCCGCTGCATTTAATAGGTACTGTAGCCTAGGGACGTAGTTCAGGTCGCGTAGCGAGAAGTACTTTATAAATACAAACTGGGATTATCTTCATAACTAGATATTTATTGTGTTTTTCACATATTCACTTATGGAGGCTACTTCTAGATCTGCCAAGATGTTCTTCTTTTCCTATCCTATTTTTTAAACACTTTCTAAATACAAATCTATATTCACTCAGCCAGTACTTCTACTCATAGAGTAGAGCCTAGACTACAGTACTTTACACTTAGAATAATAACGCATAGAATGATAGTTTCATATCAAACGAACTGTCACAAGTGAGGCAAAAATCAAATTCATGTAGGCTAGTTTTAGTAGTAGGTTAATTTTCGGTTTTAGTGAATATTTATATAAAAACACAAGTTGAAACGCGTCACTTCCTTCTGGAATGTGATGTTAGTATCTATTTTATGTTTGTCTGACGTATTTTTACACTCATTTACCGCACATTTCGTCATTTTCAGCTAAAATTCTTGAGCTGTTCGCGGTGCAAGTTGACCTTGAGCACTGAAGGCCCGCCCGCTCGTGTAGGCCCTTTTGGCGCACTTCAATTTGCCTCACTTGGCGTGTGCGGACTAGGTTTCTATGCGTTATTATTCTAAGACTTTACATATATCAAAGATTTTCTTTATATCATCAGCGTGCTGACTTTGATTCAAATGGGAGTCGATCGGGTAGCCTCGAAATCAGATGGGTTACTGAGCGAGAAGATGAACCTGATTTCTACTATATCTTCCTAATTTGTGAGTTAAATCACCTATTGTTCCGATTAGAAATGACAAAAGTTTCCGATCGACACTCGAACGAGAGGCAATCAAAATCAAGTTGCTGAACTAAACACAACACGTATAGCATATAATATACATTTTTCAAATAATTTTAATTCCCTACCGCTCGACCAAGCAAAATAAGCAGTTTTAGTACGGGAAAAAATTTAATTCGAGCTCAAAGTATTTTAAACGACAGCTACATGACAGTTATTCCAATACTCGTAGTACTTACAATAAAAATGCATCATCGATAAAAAGTTACAAGTGGCGCTATCTAGGCGTCTTCAAGATATCTGTAGATATTTGATGTTCTCCTTTATTAGATCTCGCTGAGATACACTTAGTTAATAGGTAGGATGACTATTTTAACGGATTCAAATACAGTTGAAGGCCACAATGCAGTTCCAATAGATTAAAATATGAAAATTTTTCTTTTACATATATGTGCAACGTCAACCCTCGCGTTGCTTTATTCCCCCGTAAAATTTCTACCACCAATCGTAAGTTTGATTGCAAGAAGAACGCAAATGCCATCAGCCCCATTAAGTAGACATAGTATTGCTCTCCTGCTCCAAGATCAGCACGGTAAAAAAAGGAAAACCAGGAATAATTTCATTAGAAACATCAAAGTTGCTGTCTGTCTCTTTTTAGATCTAGTCTGTGTTGCGCTCACACAATCGTCGGACTCCTCAACGATTGTACCAGCTTCAGATATAACAAAGAACTCCCTTAAAATAAAACTAATAATTGTCATAGATCTTTTGGTATTCGACGTACGTACGTCAAGCCTATACAAAATTTGTATCACAGTCAAGGGAAGATTCCAACCGTTATGTAACATTTCAAATACCATCTGTGGCCGTAGCATGGCAGGATATGTGTGATAAACCTCCCAGTGACATTATGTATTTCGAATAAAGTAAGTCTGTTTTTTTATAATAATAATAACGTACACACTCAACGTAGCCCCGCACTAGGGAAACCCTGACACGCAGGTGCCATGGACACACACATAGACAACCACAAATTACACCCTAACTCACGAGAGAAATAAATGTAGGCCATACAAATATTTCTCCCGGCCCGGGAGCGAACCTGGGACCTCTGCGTGGCAGTAAGGTATGGTAACCGTTCGGCCACGGAGGCAGTTACAGCAACTATTATATCAAGTGACATTGACAAACACAACAAGACAAATGACAACAGTTACAGTGCCACTCAGAGTGTCTGTGTAATCGCAAAGATCTGAGGGGCACTGCCACTGCGTCTGTCACCCTGAGACATAAGTTGACAAGTCCCATGTGCCTGTAATTTCACTAGCACACTTACCCTTCAAAACCGGAACACAGTAATGCTGACATTACTGCTTGGCGGCAGAAGTAGGTAAAATGGCAATACTTCCCTGGACGAACTCTTTCACAAGGAGGTCTACTGCTACTTAACTACTAAGCTCTACTGCGGTCCCTATCTACTGACTCCAGAGATAGGATTTTCCGGAGAGACTACGGGCTCGACAGCAAGTCCAGGAGTACAGCGGGCGTCCGGGCTAAGCCCTCCGCCAGTAATACGCCTTTGCGCTCGAATTGTGGACCCGGACTTGTGTGTGAACTCGCTGGGGTTTGTGGTTAGCTGCAGAGACGGACATGTTTGTCAGCCCCGGTTGGGTGTGGCCGGGGCGTCTATCTTGTGACCAGCTAGCGCATCTTAGTAGCGGTCTAGTTGAGGGCCTGAAGCCAAGAGACGCGTGGGGCACGGGAGTTCCCCTTTAAGTTGGAAGCTATTAAGTTGGACATTGTCGCAGGACACAGCAACCGGCAACTCCAGCACTAGCCCGGAGATCTAGTAGAGTATAAGCTAGATATCCTCCGGTCCCTCCAGCCGCTTAGGTTATTGGGAACTGGAGAGACGTCGTTTTTCGGCATCGGGAAGTGAGCGTGCCTTACAGCTCCGCCACCAATGAGGAGATTTGGTACTAGTTGTTCAATGCGCAACGGGAAATGAGCTTGTCTACAGCTCCGGTACCTATCTGGAAAATAGGGAGGGTACTGTACGTGGACCCGGGGCGGCTCACCTGAGGCACTAGCCTTTCTGAGAACCGGATGAACTACGTGCAAACGTGCTGATCTGAGGTTAGGACCGGAATTAGATGGTCCCTGTGCGAGCTCGCTTGCACAGGTCATTGTGCCCTTCTCGTACCTAACCTAACTCTAGTGTTTTTACATATTTTACATTAAAATTATTATTGATGTATTTGTAATTACTCTTATGTATTGAACTGTATTAAAAATGTTCTCCTCACCTTTTTCCAATAATTTTTTTTGTTTGTTTTTATTATTTGTTTTCATCTCGTTTGTCGTGTCAATTTTTCCGTTTCCGAGGATGTTTACCGGACACCCACGTTGCGTTACACGTCGCGGTCCATACGTGTTTTAAATAAACAAATGGTGTTAGTGTTTTATTATATTATTATGTATGTTAGTCTATAAGGTACGTATTTATGGGTCTTATGTAACCTGAATATAAATAAATAAATAAAAATAAATGAAAAAACAATTACTATGAGGATATTCCGTTTCCAAGTTGAAGTCAACTACACATGCTGACGTTAAATAAAATGCCCTTACATATATTTTATAGTAAAAGATTTTTACTGTGTACTTCAAAAGTGGAAAGCTGACATTACACAAAAACAGACCGTATATTTTACAAATAAACAGGTAGACAATGATCTTTATTATCCTAAACGACGACCTTGGGGCAACAATCTGGGTAGGGCTTACTTCTATCCTGGACGATCCTACCCGGGGGACCAGTTTCCACTACTGTACATCTGGAATACAAAAATATTAATTAATGAAAATATCAGTTAATTAGGGTAGCAGTTGACAACGTCGGTGATCCAACGGTTCGCATGGTTCGATTATTGGTACGATAAATTTGACAGATATACAAGCCATATTTGTGTTGCAAAAACGAGCGATTCGTTCTGTGTACCGTTTAGGTTCTCGAATTTCTCTTAGAGAAAAGTTTCGAGATTTTCTATCACGACTGTGGCATCACAATACATTTACTCAAATATTTTGTATGCCCGTAAAAATATACACAATTTCGTTAAGAAGAATATATCCATAATATTGACCTTGGAACTAAGTCCAAACTCATGGCACCACGATTTCGTTTAAATAAGATAAACGATTCTTTTATGGGGAACTGTAAATAAGATTCCGGAGCATACATTAAGATTACTATTTCCTAAGTTTAAAACTTACATTAAAAGTATTTTAATTGAAAAGTCATATTACAAAATTGAAGAGTATGTGTTAGATAAAGATGTATGGAAAGACGACATGAGTCTAAATTCCACACAAATATGATTCAAAATGTATTGTATAGCATTTAAGTTTATTTGAAAAGAGCAATCTCTAGAGTTTCTTGCTCGTTCTTCTCAGGGAGGTCAGCGTAGTGAACGAGCAATAGCTTAAAAAATTACGTTTTCAAGTGTTAAAATTTATGGAATAAATGATTATTTCATTTGACTCTGGGAAATATTTGTTTTTAATTCGTTCTGGTCTGTATAAAACCCCAGTATGAATCCCGTTGCTCTAGTACACTTGAAATGATGTGGACGCCTAGCACAAGTTTCAAATCAAATCAAATCAAATCATTTTATTCGTCATGATGGGTACAATAAAGATGATAACATGTATTTTATGGTCGCCATGACGTACCATAAAGGCATACGAATTATATACTATTATTATTAATTATACTTGTCCAATACTTCCAAATAATAATAATAATAATAAAATAACACTAATAATTATTATTAAATAGTCATAAACCACTGATTATAGGCTTCCACCTTCACAGGACCAAGTCTTAAAATCTACAACAGTTAGGACATCAAACAAAAGTAATTTAATTAAGATAATAATCAATGTAAATAAATCAATGTCAAACAGTCACGTTCGTCTCAATAATAAATAATAAATTAATTAATGTGAAATTAGTTAGCAAAATTCCTTTAATGTATAAAACATTGACTTACAAATAAATGGACGACGGGTCTAATACAAAAACCACGAAAAAAATTGTCCCAAGTCAACCTATTTAAACGTAGTGACATGTAAAGGAATATGAAAAAGCTAAAACGTTGAATTTAAATAGTAATGTCATCGCAGTACCTACTGTCTAATTTTGCTTGCTTCGCTGTCAGTCGAACAAACGAAGACTAAAGCGTGAATGACGCTCTGTATACGATTTTAACGCCCTATAAGTTCGGACACTTTTTAGCGCGGACCCGACGTCCATATAATTGTAAGTCAATGGTATAAAATGATTTTTCAATTAAATACTCAAATAAAAAAAAAGTTTATTTTAATTACAATCTTATTATGCCTAAATTTCCAAATTGGAACGCAGTAATGCTCACATTACTGCTTTATGGCAGAAATAGGAAAGGTGGCAGTACTTCCCTGGACGAACTCTCACAAGGAGGTTTACTGCCGCTAGCGTAAATGTGTAAGTGTGTTAAAAACTTACGACTCGTATATAAGAAAGGCTTTTCCACAGCGAAATCCCATACATTGGTGCGTGGAAGGAGTCAACTGATTTAAGGGAATCATGGCATCCATTTCCGGAATGTAACAACCTTCTTGGTCATCTGTAAATTAATAATCGGTGAGATAATTAAGTATAGATGCGCTTTAAACTGTCGACACAAGATTTATATGCTTGATTTATATGTAAAGTTGGAATATAAAAATTAAAAATGTCATTAGATACAATACAATACAAGAAAAAGAAAAGCAATGAAGCACATTGCACTCTCTGGTAGGTATTCTGACCGCATACAAAAAAATACACATTCGCATCAAAAAAACGTATAAGAATTATAATTTAAATACAATTATAATTGCAAATTAACAACAATGTAATAATATATATTCAGTCTCTGTTTTAAATTGCAATCGGTCTAATTTCCTCAATATAAAAAAAACAAAGATGTAGAATGATGCCTAAATAGCGCCTGTTAAAAACCATGAGCAAATAAACTTACACGAAACTTAACTAATTGTTTTTGTTAGGCGTTGGCACTTTTCCTACATATTCTTTAATTTAATAATTAGGTATGCAAATGTAGCTCATGGGATTGCTACATCGGCACATTATCTTTCTAAATTATGAGTAAACTAGAAATTAAACATTTTTTGTTTGTATATCTAAAAAAAAAATTCATTTCCGATGTGGAAAGGAAAATTTTATTTAAAAATATTACTTACGAAATTTATCTGGTTTAGCATACAAAGGTCCCCGCGCTAATGCACCCAAAGCCACGCTCACAATTGCACAGTACACTATTGATTTCATCCACATTTTCTGTTTTTGTTATTTTGTGCAAGTTACAGTTTAGTATAGCAAAAAGTTTTAATACAAATCGTCAGTTTGTGTTTCATTTATACGTCCGGTTAGATCAGGTTATCACAGTTCAAGTAAGTTTATCTCACTACAATGACCTATAAAATATGCTTCATGTTCAGTAAATCATTCGTAACGCCTTTGCGTGGTTGTAATAACATTTGGATTGCATTGACCATTCCATTCTTAATATGGTCACATGATTTATAATATGCTCATATATAATAAAATACCAGATTGGTAGGTCAATGTAGACATTAAAAACTGATGCTAAATATTCAACATTTAAAAGCAAATTAAACTAATTATGCACGTTCAGACCAGCGTGTACCACTGGTGGAGCACGGACAGCTGGTCTATTAGGCGTAGTGTACCACTGGTGGTCACACAACACTTGACTTTTGTTATACTAATGTAATAAAATAATGTCGCTTTGAGAAAAAGTGCTGAATTTAACGTTCCCATCCTGTGCAACATTCAAATTTTCATAGTGTAGCTTGATATTGTGTAAGACAGTAAAAAAAATCAAGGTTTAAAAAAAGCATGAATTTGAAAAACGAGAATAAACACAGTAAATTATTTCTAATGCATTTGACTCAGAACTGCTAAAAAAATACTTAAGATAATAGGTTAATTAGAATGAGTTATAGCATTATTTTGCCGTGTCCTCCGGTGAGTTGGCACCCCGCCCTACACAATTTTCGGTGGATGGGGCGATGATGTACCACCGGTGGCCATGTGAGAATCTTTCTAACATTATTTAATGGTAATTTTGTTGAACGTGTTAAAAGTTACTACTCAATAGAAGACTTCTTGTCTCGTCAGTCACCTACAACTTCTAATAATATTGATGATTATAATATTCCAATAATATTGATTGACATTTATTAGACATTTTGTTATTTCATTTTTCAATATTTTTTTTATAAGAATACCTGATGAAAGCGACGAAGAGGTAGAGTACACATTTAAATAATGTCTATCTCTTCTCGCCTTGAAAAGGTCCAAGTTATAGCGTTTGTATGTGGAAGCGAAAAGCTTCGGCGATTCTTTGGAATATCTTCAACATAGTTGTGGAACACCAGCCTACGTCCAGTCGAATAATGATGGAATGGGGAAGGCGGAACTAAATTATGCAATTCCATTGTACAGTCTCCGTGATATGTCCTGTAGAATACAGATAAGCAGGCAAATTTAAGGCGGTGTTCAAGGCTCTGCAGCTTTGCCTCTACTAAATCCGAGTCACCTATAAGCCACTTGACGCGCTTTTCTAGTGAATCCAGCGTGGCCAGTTGGTATTTAGCAGGACATTACCGGACTTGTGCTTGATACAGTTGAAGCAACTGTCCCGGTGTGAGGTAACGCGTCACGTTGGAAAGGATGCCATGCTTCATGGGTGCATTTTTGGCCATGGATTCTATGTAACTGCCGAAGTTCAAATTGGACGACAGGTTAATTCCAAATAGATGAAGGCGGTCGGTTATCGGTACGGATTTATGACAAAAAGTCGGAGTCATGTCAAAAGGACTACGTATTGTGGAGAATTTTATATGAATTTTAATTAATGTATACTTATAGATTGCGGCACATTATCAGGATCCATATTTGTACAAGACACCTACCTATATGTCTTTTTGCTATTCATGATGCAATTAGTTGTGCATTGCACAACTAAGCCGTTTAATCTAAATTCAACCACCAACTCTCATCACTGGTAACGGAGCTGTAGGCACGCTCACTTCTCGATTCCTCTCCGTGCGCCTATCCTATTCCTATTATTCCTATGGGGCTCGATCGACCGGAAGATATAAGAGCACCTCACGGGCCATGCACTTCCTATTAGGCCCTTGTCCAAGCCGCTACTAAGATATGGTAGCTGCGCGCGAGACGGACCCCCAGCCACACATTACCGGGGCAGACAAACATGTCCACTTCTGCAGCTACCACAGGCCCCGGCGAGTCTATACCCAGAGTCCAGGTCCACCAGTGGCGCCCGTGAAGGCACATCACTGGTGGAGGGCTTATCCCAGACGCCCGGCGTACCTTGATCGTACCGGGGAGGCCGTAGTTTCCCCGGAAATTCCGATCCGATGTAGGTCAGTAATAAATTTATGAATTACAATGATAATAAGTAACATAAGGGTTTTATGAGCCTCAAATAAAATGCGGAATGCGGAATTAACTGTCAAGAAAAATAAAATACAGAAATTAAAAGGAAATCGATTATTACGGTTAACGTTACATTTTTTGCATTATTTTAAATAGAATTGCAAATGTTGTACGTTTTCTACTGTAAGATAACATTTATGATGAAAATAGAAATATATAGAGCTTTGACATTCCAAAAATATTCGTTTTTTTTTGCCGTGATGGAGATGTGGTTTGACCTACCGCCTCTGAAGCAGAGACCGTGAGTTCGAAATTTGACATCTGGACTCACACCTCTGAATTGTGCGGAACTTATGTGATATTTAGTGTGTGTGTCTAGACCGTGTCATGTTGCGGACTAATAAAAAGGCGGTTACTTTGGTATTTGACTCTGGTTTCACGGATCACGCGCCCATACTCACATGCATTGATCAATTTAAGACTATAAATTAGGTACTATATGCATGCATTTACGCATTAACTTCCAAAACGTAGTCAAAGACATAGCGCAAACTGATTTTTCAGCCATTATCAACTCTAACAATGCGAACATTGCAGCCGAAATGTTAGTGGCAAAAATCTCGACGTGTATTGAACATAATACCAGTGTCATCAGGGTATCGTGTAGAAAACGGATCGTAAAGGTCAAGAAGAACGTGTGAAGAACCCTCGCTTGAGAGAAAACCCTTTCCCAGCAGAGGGACTAATTAAAAGGGGTAAAGTTCGGGTTTTTTTTAATTTCAAGTGACGCGACGAACAAGTCCTGCGTTTCAGTGCCACTCACACACTTTAAATTGTAAAAACCTGAGGTGGTGCAGCCACTGCTCCCGTCACCCATAGACATGAAGTTGACAAGTCCCATATCCCTGTAGTTTCGCCGGTGATATAGGGACCCTTCCGACCCGAAACACAGTAATGCTAATATTACTGCATTGCGGCAGAAATAGGTATAATGGCAGTGCTAGTCTGGACGAAATCTTTAACAAGTAGCATTTTTTTTAGCTACAGCTACTAAAGTTATACTAAAAGCTTTCGTAAAAAAATGCACAAAGATGCCTGTAACGCAGATTTGCATAGTTTATGCATGGCAACTTCACTATTAGGTTTTAAGATTTAAATGAAGATTATATAATTAAGGTTCCTTTTTAACCGACTTCAAAAAAGGAGGAGGTTCTCAATTCGACTGTATGTTCTTTTGTTTTTTTTTGTATGTATGTTACGCGATAATTTGTGAACCGATTTTCATGATTCTTTTTTTGTTGGAAAGAGGGTACATCCATAGTGGTCCGATTTCATTTTGAAGGAAATCATCCACCTCGAAGGGTGGCTGTTCACGCATGAAGATTCATTTTTATAAATAGCGCCTAACTTTAATTTAGGAGCAATTACTTTAATGGTTGATTTTGCTATTTCTCCAATTCAAGGCGTTTTTCTCTCAATATACTTTGAGTAGTGAGAACCGATTTTTATTATCTCCAGTGTCAAGTCCTGTATAGTGGCGAACTATATTTCAATAAAACTTAGCAAATAGACGTAATTCCACGTACTTTTGAGGTCGGTTTTTTAGTACAGAGGTTATTTATTGTTCATTTAGCGTCATTTACATGTGTTTTATGTGTATTAAGTTTATTACATTAAGTCTTAATTAAACAAATCTTATCTTATATGAGTCAACATATCAGTTTAGAACGCAAAAAAGAATGATCGCAACTCACACAAAATAACTCACTCAATGTACTTCAATTTAAACTTTAACCACCACAAATAATTTATACTAATCATAAAATCCATTGCTCTGTTGTAATTTAAATAAGAAATTTATTTTTTTAATTATAATGAACCGGCTAATTAAGAGTGTTAAAAATTATCGTTAAATTGTCGTAAACCGAGACTTGTAGCAATTATTCATGTATTATTACATCGGAACACATTTCTCCATACATAACTATTTACACAAGTACGTAATTGAAATTGATTGGCGACAAAAAGCATTTCTATGCAAATACATAATTTCAGAATCTTTTGATTTACAATTTATAAAAACAAAGGCGAACCACATTGCTCGGGGAACAGATAGCCGATGGACAAAGAGTTATCGAGTGGATATCGCGTACCGGAGGACTCAGTTTGGGCAGACCACTCAAAAAGTGGATCGATGTCCAGCCGTGGATATCTTTCGGTTAAACCCATCGGGCAGCTTTCATACATTTTATCAGTAGTAAAAGCTGTGTATTTTCTAGCTTTTTCGTTCAAAGTTAACTTATAGACCCTGCCCTCTACTGATAGTACCCTTGTGAGAGATCTAATTTGGAAAAATAATCTCTGTCTAATCTCTGTCTCTGAATAATGTCTGCAATGTTAGGTAACAGAAACTTGTTATCTAATATTTGTTTATTAAACTGACGATAATCAACCACAAGCCTCCATTTCTTTTCATTAGAATAGAATAGAATAGAATACATGTATTACATAACACCACAACACAATAATAAACAGTAAAAAATAAAAAGTAAAAAAAATAAAAAATAAAACAGAAATAAATTAAAACTAAAACAAACAGGAAATGAATAACAAAAAAGAAAACTAAATAAAAATAATTAAAAATAAAATCTTAGCAATAAATAATTATGCGACCACAAAGCTGGTCAACACTATTGTTGTACTAAGTAGATGTCATGTGTGCGGCTGTGGCGTGCGTAATAGGATCCACTCAGTTAATGTCACCGCCGGGACAAGGCTGTGACGCTGATTTTCAGTGGACCCTAAAATTTAGAATATCCATTAGATTTATCTACTTTCTTCGGAAAAAAGTAGAACTGGCCTTGACCATTCTGAACTACATTCCTCTATGATATCATTATCTAACATATTTTTTGTCTGATTATTAAATTCTGACTTAAGTGAATGCGGAATTGTATAAGATTTCACATATACAAGACTAGCATTTTCTTTCAACGTAATAGAATATTCCATTAAGTTCGTAGTTGTTAATTTATCACCTGGAAGATGGAAAATATCTGAGTATTTAGCACAAATTTGTTCAATATTGAGCTTGTCTCCATCTTGTAAACACTTCAAATCTAGTAAATTTAATAAGGACTTAACACGTTCTACACTTGTATTTTCTCTATCAAAATTGCAAACTTCAAAATTCTCATGCAAATCTAAAATATCTAACTCTGAAAAATCTCTAAATCTTGGTCAGTAGTGTTCAAACTTCTAACCGGGATTTTTCTGTTTTGTGGTTTAGTAATTAAACCTGAAATAAACACTCCTTCTTGAATTTCTCTAGCCAATTTTACACAGTCGCCACTGTGTCTGGTAAGAAGAAATTTGATACACTCGTAACGGTCTGCAATTTTATGCTTGAATAGATTAAAATTACGATTTATCCGCTCACGCGATACATGCAGCCGTAGACGCATACCACATCTAGAGGTGCGGGTGATGAAGTTATATAGATTTATCGGATATCAAAGTTATAACAGGTAAAAGAACTAATATTAATTGCTATTTCGGTAACTACTCTAGCAAACCATAAAGTTTTTAATGCCTGGCTCTGTCATTTAAAAAAAATAAACAACTTCAAAAATACGTCACGACAATCGTGTGTGTTATTATCTGGGCTGGTGATTTCGGTGTTTATTTATTGAAAACATACCGTAAGTAGCGTTTTTTAAGTTTACCGTGAATATAAATGTTTATAAACTATACTTTAAGAAGTAATTTCATGGTAAACGTTAGAACCACTCAAACGGAATATTATCATATTTATCCAAGTACACCAAAAATTTCATTAGTGCTTTTTAAGTGCTGGATTTGCGGTGTATTACTGCATTTTATTTGAGATGTTTTTGTTGGTAGTACGGAGGGTATTTATTTAGCAATGCAGAATAATAATTTTTATTTATGAAAACTTGTATTTAAACTGAATGCTTTTCTAATTTGCGAAACCAAAAGCCGCCATTTTGCGGTAGGAGGAGCGCATCGCGTGAGCGGTTAGAGGTAAACAAACCTCCATATTCGCACTGCTTAATTTCAGAGTATTATTATGATAATCAATAACTGCTTTGTATTTTGTTAAAAAGTTTTCTCCTAAAATTCCATCTACTGAACATGACATGTTCTTAAAAACATAAAATTTCTGTCTTAAAAATTGTCCTCCATATAACAAATTAAGAAAAATATAACCTTCTGATTGCAATTTTCCACTAACGCCTTTTATTGTTATTTTCTCTTAAGATACCTGTTTAATCAAATCACTATATTGACATAACCATTCATGTTTTATGACACATGCTCGCTCCACTATCAACTACTAGGTTCAAATTACAGTTGTTTGCTAATTGAAATGTTACCTTATTGTTGGTATTATAATTCAAAAATGAGCTTAAAAGTTTAAGCAAGAAATTAAATTCAACTTCAAGTTTACTACGTAATTTCTTGCTTGAAAGTTGATTACCTTTGATGAGAGATCCAAAGAAAAAGGTATCTGGTTCAAAACAATTCAACCTGAGCCACTGGAAGTTCCATGGATTGATAACTGTTTGATGAATAGAATTGGTGGCTCTGAGGTTGCGCTCTGGGCACATTTCTTCAAAGAAGTTTACCTTTGCCCATCAAGCACCACACCAACTCCTTATTATAGCAATTGCGTCGTCATTGAAGACATTTACCACGTTTTGATGGAATGTGTTCGGACCGATAGACTCAGGAGACAGTTGGGCAGTGTGGCCAACATACTCTTCAACTACCTCCGTGGCCGAACGGTTATCATGCCACGCAGAGGTCCCAGGATCGATTCCCGGGCCGGGAGAAATATTTGTATGACCTACATTTATTTCTCTCGTGAGTTTGGGTGTAATTTGTGGTTGTCTATGTGTGTGTCCATTGCACCCGCGACACAGGGTTTCCCTAGTGCGGGGCTATGTTGAGTGTGTGCGTTGTTATAAACATACGGCAGACTGGGTGGTGTAACAGTATACTGGCCGTTCCGCCGTCGAACGAAGCCAAGATACTGCACAGAATAATTTAGATAGTCTTAATCTAGGTTAGATGTATAAATTAAGTAGCATTACGGAGCGACATTACTAGTAAAGCTACTTAGATTTAGATTAAAAAAAAACGTTGATTAGTTGAAGTCATAGATCGTATTATAAATCTCAGTTTTAAAGTAGACAATAGGCTTAACTAGAATATAGAGAAGACATTGTACTCGTATATTTTCACAACTAGGGACAGCAGCCTGGGTAGGACTTGCTAGGATCTTCCTCGGCGAGCTTATATGAGAAACCATCATCAGCTACAGTAAGTACTTCAGCACAGCTGAAATGCAAAGATAATCATTAATATCCAACAACGTTTGAAAAATTTTTTAAAGTAGAATTTAGTAGAACATGTACGTTTGTCATATAAAAAAATGAGATAGTTGCTGGTTAGTCAGTATTTTACTGACGAAACTCCAAGCACCTTGCCTCGTCGGACAAAACAGTCAGGCGTTTTGTATGAAATAGTAGAGTTTCTCTTATTCAAGATTTATTTACTGATGTAGAGATTTAGCGTACATAGACTAATTTCTTAAAGCAAATCGATGGGGATCCTGTTATATGGACTTTTCGCCACTGCCAGTTACAAGTGTGTTACGAACTTACGTTTTATATAAGACTGACGATGTTTCGCAATGATATCCCATGCATCGGTCCTTAGCGGGCAAGAAGTTATCAAGGGGAACCACAGCGTTCAGCTCCGGAATATAACAACCTTCCTGGTTCTCTGAAAAATTGTGATATATTTAAATATAACACGTTACAACCGTCGACATAGAGTTTACATGAAATATTAAAAAATACAATTTGATCTCCATCTCATCTAATTGATGATGAGGTCGACAATGATACACATAATAGGCCTTACATATATATATATATGTAAGGCCTATTCACTCTTGCCTTGAAAAGGCTTAATAAATATGGAAGCGTAACGCTTCGTGCGAATCTTGGATGTATCCACAAGATAGGGGTGAAACCCCAGCCTACGTCGATGATAAAAAGGGGACGCCGTATACATTCTGTAGAATATAATATCCAGTAGAATACTGATAGCAGGTAACTTTCGGTGGTGTACAAGGCTTTGCGGCGTCACCTCAACTAAATCCAATAAATATATTTTATAATTTAATAAAAATAAAATGTGTAAATAAATAAATAAATAAAATAAATCCGATTCACCGATAAGGTACTTGCCACGTTGTTTAATAAAAGGCAAGGTGGCCAGAGGTATTTAGCAAATTAATCTTATAGGTGGCAGCAGTACTCCATATACGAGTGGAAATGTGCTTAGTACTGTTGTATCAAATCAACTATCTCGGCGTGAAGTAACGCTGAAGCGTGGACCCCACGGAAGAAAAAAGCAATGGAATTGCCTTAAGCATTGACTTACAAATAACCGCTCACGCGATTCATGCGTCTCTGGAAGCATACCACACCTAGAGGTGCCGGTGATGATTTTATACCGATTTATCGGATATGAGCGCATCGCTTGAGCGGAAGTTGGCACGCGTCAGACGCTAACTAACCACTTCTACTGTATTTATTCTTCTGTGGTGGACCCAATACTAAGGTGAACCTTGGAAATGATGACAAGCTTCCTGGCTGCATTCGTGTCAATTTCTTCGATAAAAGCTGTGATAACAACTTTACGGTACACTAGGCCAAAGCAAAATGATATATTGACACTTCGTAGTAATTTACGCACAAAATGCGCCTTTTAAAAGCTATGAGCAAATAAACTTGTGCAAAATTTAACTTAGTTTTTGTAATAGGCATGTGTCTTTCTAACAACGTAATAGAAAAGTTTTTTAATTGCACGTGCCAGCTCGTTTGCAATATGGTGCTCCAAGAAATCTTTATTTATTTATATTTAGGTTACAAAGACCCCTAAATACCTACATACCTCATAGACTAACATACATATCAATATAATAAAACACGGATTATTAATTATTTAGTTACACTTATTGTCTGTGACGTGTAACGCAACGTGGGTGTCCGGTAGCCGGCCTTTAAAGCGTCGGTACATGACACCCTTCGGTCAAAACTCCTTCACGAAGGTCGACTCACCACAAATGAATTAAAATAAAAATCGTGTGTGATAAGTGTAATATATACTTTATGACGTCAAGAGTTCACCCCATTAGGTACCCTAACAGGAGGCGAGAGTGCTCTCCCTTTCTATAACTTCTATTTAATATCTAGGTATATAATACTCACTGAATTCATCCGGCTTAGGGTACAAAGGTCGCATCGCTATTCCAGCCGAGGCTAAGGTCACAATTGCACAAATTATTATTGATTTTATCCACATTTTTTATTCTTAAGTACACGTCCAACTTTTTGTATAGTATCAAATGTTTTAAAATGAATCGTTTGTTTGTATCGTTTATATATCCAGTAAAACCAGGTTATCTGACTTATAAGAGTTTATCTGCACTGCAATGACGTCATCTATTTAATCCACGTTCTGGGAATACCATCAGTAGAGCACGTGGTCGAGCGGCTTGCACACCGGTTTACATGGTGTCACCATCTCTGAGCTCCCGGATTCGATCCTCGACCGAGTCAATATAGAAAAACCCACTCTTCTATATTGTTCCGTTCTCCGTCAAACATCCGTATAAAACTATTCTGTCACAATGTCAAGTATGAAGCTTCATTCGCATCATACGTCTTTTAACGCGATAAGTGCCTCCCGCTGAGTGTATCGCCGACAGTACAAGCGCTCAGACAAGTCTTTCATTTACATTACAAGCCTTGTACAAACCCCAGCATTCGGTCCGGCAACGTTATTTCACCGCTCTGAGCGCGTGTTTATGCTTCCATTTTCCTCGTAGTGAGCGCTTGGTGTCATTAGCCAGATATAGTAGACTATTCTGCTCTCGTAACGAAAAAAAGCACAACTATGCGTACTTTAGACAGCAGTTCTGCCTTTTTTCGTTCTGAGGGAATGTATTATAGCCTAAACTCTAGGTAAATTCAATGTAGAATGTTTAATAACAAAACGTTGTCAACCAATGATGGCATAGGAAAATAACATTTTTTTCAATGCTCCTTTAATTGAAATTGAAATGGGTAAGTAGGTAAATGGGTTATGTAGAAGTAATATTTACCTAGCTAATTATTATTAAGTTTACAAAATACGTATTGATACATATCAGTTATTAATAAAAATTAGCTATAACGGTAGATGAAAAAAACAAAATGGTAAGATTTTATTTATTAACAGTTCAAAACTCTGTATTTTAGTCTTAAGTAAGCCTTGTGAGAGTAATAAATTATCATTCATTGTCATTGTCATTTGATATTAATTTATCATATATCATATCATCCGGCATCTATCTCTGAACATGAATTAATACCAACACTCGGACGTTTGCAATATCTCCCTTCAAAACTAAAAGTCACTAGGGATGACACAGTTTTAGAAATAATTAATCACTGGTCATTTTTATGTCATTTTTAGGTGATTTGAAACTTCTGTTGAACAATATTCATTATAAACATGACTACTAAATTTAGTATTATCCATAACCCAGTTGAATTGGGGGGAAAATAATGAAATTGTAGTAACTGTGAACGAGTCGGAGATGAAAACCCTAAAAATCATATGTTTTTGTTTGTTGACATTTTTTCTACATCGAATTTGGCCAGAGTATAGGTATTTTCGATTTTGTATGAGAGTTATGTATCTATTACGTAGTAACTATTGAGTAATCTGTGCCCAGAGTCTTTGTAAGACAAGTTTAAAGGAATTAACATTCTTACATCAATGTGACAATACATTTATGGAAATCTTCGATAAACGAAGTCGGAAATATAATAGCGTGTCAACCCCATCTAGTGCGCCAGACGCGTACTCGCAAGCGTCCTACACGATATTGCGACGACCACCCATCCTCGAGGAACTAGATTAGTCTTTGCGAATGTAGATGGCGCTTCTCGCCGTCAACCCTGTTTTGCCAAAATATCAATTTTTCATGACCAAGTTTGATAATAACGAACATTGGCCTTATGATAAGGAAACAATTTCCGGTAACTTCCGTTTTATGCGTGATTAGCGACCCGCACCCCCGCGCGCCCGTTTAGTATCCAAGAGTCCGCGTAGGTATAACACTGCTTTCAGTTAGAAGTGTTTTTCATGTGCGCGCATCTTTTCCGCTTACGTCATAGTATCTGTGTAATATCTCTACATGTGCCCCGTTTTTTATATGTAATACCCACGATGCTCTACCGACTGACTTACTTATTTAAGCATATAATTTAGTTATGAAAAATAGTGACACACGTAACATTATAGATTTTAAGGCTTTCGTGAGACGCTACTAACCACTTCTACTGTATTTATTGTTCACCCATATCAAAATATACGAAAATGTTATATAAAAATATACGTAGTGTAGATATCAAATGACTTTGTTATTATGTATCATTATTTTCTCTTTTATATTAATAACATTTTATATATTAATTTATATATTTATATTTGTTTCGCGAAGGTTTCTATAATTGCATAAGCATTATTATTAACTAAATTCCAAAAAAATTTGGCATTCACTCACACGAAATCACGGGGAAAACAAAAAGAAATACGAGGTTAAAAAAAAATTAAATAAAATAGTTTATTTACTCTACAAAAGGGTTTTTGTTAAACAGAATCATAAACTAGCTTAATTTTATAAAAGTCCAATCTTGAAACCCATACGTTGAGAGAATTCCTGGATCAGCTCACTGTAACAAAGAAAATGAAACATTTTATTACGAAATATAATATTACAGGTACGTTATGCTGTACATGCACACGCTTAGCGGTGAAAGTACATCTTCAAATTTAAATGAGGTACCCTATTTCCAACCAAAACAAGAATCATTACACTCCATTCATAAATGCCGAAGTAATTGAGTAACATACACACACAAAAATGCAGTCGAATTGAGAACCTTCTCCTTTTTTGAAGTCGGTTAAAAATTATAAAAAAGACATTTTGGTATAATTATTAATACAAAGATCGAACACATAATTCCTTCGATCCGGCCGGATTCGAACAGACTTCTAAACGACGGAACGAACCACGAATTTTTATTAATTTAGTGTTTACTTAGTGTCGGATCTTTATATCTGATTTTCAACGACTTTTCAGCGTGTATTAATAATTATAACGAACTAGCGGAGTAATTTCACAAAAAATAATTGAATATCAATTCAACAAAAAATTTAAGACGTTTTGGGTTGATTTTTGACTTTTTAAAGCATTTATAAATACGTACTTGTAGATTATGGGTTGAACGTTCCGAGCTAGCGAGTAGAGCAACCACCAGTCGCCAATGTCCACATTTTCGGAGACGATTTCGGCCGTCTTGTGTGACATGGAACTACAGCGGGCCCTCAGCAGATACGGACGAGCGCTAGGAACCAGGAGAATTACCAATCTGAAAAGGTAATGTGGTGACTAAAGAAATATGAACTCTGAAGCAGTTGTAAGTTCCATCTAGAAAGTCTATCCATGAACGTTAACGTTAAAAAACTCCACAAAATAAAAGTATTTGGCGTTGTAATAGATAATACCAGCTACGTTTGGTTGATTGTTGAAGTACAGTTGCGATGTTACACGGGTTAGGAGACTCTAATTGGCATACGGTGACTCCTGCGAATATCTCAAGTCATTCATGGCTTTGACTAAATGTAACATATGATTAAATATCATCTATTCTGTCCTAATTAACAAAACTTACCTATAAATAACAAGAATTCCCAACAAAACCATCAAAATGATGTACCAGAACCACAGAAAGATGTAGACCTTTTCGCTGATGACATTCTGGGGCAGCAGGCACAGATTGTCCGCATTCTGAATGCTGCCACCCGCTCCATAGTAGTAGAAACTACACTTCGTCATGCGAGGAAACACGTAGATCAATGGATCATATCTGGAATATAGAATGCTATTTGGAATTCCGCAAAACAACTAGCAACACTCAAGTAAACGGCGAAAGAAAACTTGTAGGTCCAAGAAAGTCTACAAAATATCTTTGCAGACAAATGGTCCCCAACTAATTGAGACTCCCTCTACTTACAGAAAACCTGAGCTCTGTAGTGGGCCGATAACAGTCCCATATCTTTCTACATAAGTTTTATTTATAGTGCCCCTTCGTATCAACTCTTGGTTATGAGGGAAGGTCATTAGGTGAGCCGCCCCGGGTGCACATACAGCACCCTCCCTATTTTCCAGATAGATACCGGAGCTGTAGGCACGCTCACTTTCCATCGCGCTCCGTAGGACTAACAATTACCACCGCTGAGCCGCTGACTCGAAATCCACTACCACGGGTCGATAACAGCAAAACAAGGTACATTTAGTAATAATAGAACCCCTCCAGTTTTTCCAGGGAAATACTGTCCCCATACTTATTTCGGTTGCCAAGCAGTAATGTGGTTTTGAAGGGCGAAGGCGCTCGTGAAACTACAGACACTTGGAACTTGTCAACTTATGTCTCAGGGTGTCGGACGCAGTGTCAGTTCCCTCAGATCTTTGTGACTTAAAGCTCTGAGTGGCACTGCAATTTTTAGGGACCGGCGTGTCGCTTACCACCAGCCACACGACTTGTGCGTTCCGTCACTTAGTATTGTAAAGAAAAAACTTGTCAACTTAGGTGTGAAAAATACCTATTCGTATGTAACACGTTTATTCCCGTTTCCAAATGTTAGTAAAATGCAACGCGAAAGTTTAAAAGTATATATTGTCCACTTATGTCTCAGGGTGACAGACGCAGTGTCAGTGCCCCTCAGATCTTTGTGATTTAAGGCTGGTTTGTTGCTGGTGCCAGTCTATTACATATCAGCAGAGTGTTTGGACCTTAACATCAGCGAATACTGATTTTATGTGTTCAAAACATAATCTTCAACGTAGTCTTTGGTAATACAATTATGTTAATAAATTGTAATAAAATATTATTTCAATGATTTTTTGACATGCGGATGGAGATACTGACATTTGCAATAGCCCTGATTTAAAGTTGTGTATAGGCGGTACGCTACCCACCATATCAGCAATAATTTAAACATACCTGTCTTCTTGGGCCTCGTTGGAAGTACGTAGTAGCTGGGATCCGAACGACAGGAACTGGCCGTCAAGGAAGGTGTTTATAAGAAACATCTGCCCCACCACATTGACTAGACACAGCAATTCGCAGAACCAGTACGTGAACGCATACAAATTGTGTGTCTGGAAAGATATTCCTAATTACTAAGTCAGTATATCACAGCACAGTCAGATATAAAAATGAATATGATGGTTACAAGCACATAAAGTCTTCAGCGAAGTGTAATGGCCTAGTTCAAGAAGTCCCTAAGTCCGTTTCTTGCTTCGAGATATTGCTAATCTTTTTGTCTTTGAAACAATAATACGAAATCTTTGAAAGAGTAACCGGGGTCAAAGAGTATCGCTTTGGGGTTTTTTTGTATAAAAACGTTTGTTATTATGAATTGATGAATGTTGCTTGAAGATACGACCAAAAATAAGATTGCACTTAGAACGAAATCTTTAGGACTTAGGGCTTTTTAAACGGGACTTAGAGATTTTAGTAACTTTTTGGACTTAAGGATTTTCATAATTTTTTTCTGAACTTACAGGTAAAATTCTCTGAAGTGATATATTATGGGTTAGAAAATTTTATGAGTAGGTAAAACAATAAATTCAAAGATACAAAAGAAAGCCTTTAATCTTATATAGGAAATGAAACTATTTTTCCGGATCACACTATTTTTCATGGTCCCATGGTCACGGTTGACCGTGACCATGGGACCTGTAAAGGGCCCGAAACGTCGGTTTGTTTGAAAAAACAAATATACGCGATTTAAATCCGGAAAAATAGTTTCATTTCCTATGTGTAACAATCGCGAAAACCTAAGAACTTTAATCTTATAGTCAGATTAATCTTAATTTTAACAAAAATAAATCCTTACTTTAGGTAGCATATACTAGAGAACCAAATAAGGTATGTAGGTATTAATTAGCATGAAACAGAAGAACTAGAATAAGTCTTATTCCAGTTCCTCTGTTTCACCTTCAGCGTATTCTGCCATTTGAGTATTAATTTCATAAATACCTAGCAAATGAATGGGCACATATTCCAAGAGCTTCAAACCCTTCAGCATCAACTTAGTGATATTTATATATAAAAAGATGTACTTGGGGATTTCTTGGACTCAACTGAACTCAACTCATTGGACTTAGCAGCTTTTCAAATTTTTAAAGTGAGACTAAACTATAGACATTGTGGAGTTTTCGCCAATGGTGGCAGTGGTGCTAAGTGATCTTGAACTGGGCCATTCATTTCCACCACCAATTATATTTCGCAAAAGTCGTTAGATTTCAAGATTTTGGCGGTTTTTACTAAACGACGTTTCTCGTCATGGTATAACTTTATAATCTTCCTCATTGTTTTACGGCAGTTACACGCTATATGATCACCTATTGACTGGCAATATGCAGCAGACGGCTTCAAGGATAGATGTATCCCCCGTATCCATATATTTCGAATCGATTTTTTTTTTTAAATTTGAACCACGATTACCGAATTTTTTATTATATATTACCGAACCATTCATAAAGACAGTTGATAGAGTCAAAGGAAATTGGAGTTTGTCTCGACACCACAGCGAAAGCTACTCACACCTTGATGCATGTACATGTAGTGGACGAGCGTACGGATTTTGGTTTCCCGGATTTCAGAAGTGGTAAACGGATTCATGCCACCCGCCAGCTGAAGCAGCAAACCACCTTCCCGCATCTTCCATATCGCACGTGGAATGTAGCACATGATAGCCTGTATAATTAAATCTTTTTTAAAAATAGTCTCTTTAGAACACAAATAAGTCTGCAAACAGTCATGGGGGTGGGTACACGAGAGTGCCTCCCCGCACGACGGACCATTCCTTTCCTGCAGGTGTGGTAACAATCGGCGAGCATCTTACGCCTATTAGCAAATCCTTGTAACACGATAGCAAGCATTGCATTGTATACCATCAATACGATAAGAACAATTGGACGTAGATAAGCAAAAAGGATGCAATCCACAAAATTATCAAAAAATGAGTTATATGTACCAAACGGTTCCTAAAGTCTAAACTCTTAGATCAGCAAGAAAGTCCAACATGTAAACATAAATAAATATCTCTGGAGTTACATGCCATTATAAGTTTTAAGAAACACTTTTAAACTTCAAACTCATTGACTTACAATTATATGGACGTCGGGTCCGCGCTAAAAAGTGTCCCAACTTATAGGGCGTTAAAATCGTATACAGAGCGTCATTCACGCTTTGATCTTCGTTTGTTCGACTGACAGTGAAGCAAGCAAAATTTGACAGTACTGCGATGACATCACAATTTAAATTCAACGTTTTAGCTTTTTCATATTCCTTTACATGTCACTACGTTTAAATAGGTTGACTTGGGACATTTTTTTCGTGGTTTTTGTATTAGACCCGTCGTCCATTTATTTGTAAGTCAATGTTCAAACTGCTATATCTCGAAAGTGACTGGGTGTACATTGGATCCTTTTTGTTTAACTAACTTGACTTGATGATCTTGACTTATTAATTCGTAATGAAAACTTCAGGCTCGTAAATCATCGCTGACATTATATCACTTGTCAACGGTTCGATTTATGGGGGGGTTATTTTTCTCTTCTCTTCTTATTTAAGAGCTAAGCTCTTGTTGGTAAACTAATCGCCAACCGTCTCTGTTCAGCTAACTTTGATATCCTATTATGACACGACATTTTTTATTTTTTCCCTTTTCTGATCTAAATAACTTCGTCTTGATCGTCCTGTGCCTCTTTTTTCTGCAATCGTCCTTGTCCTAAGAAAAGTATCGTGACGTATCAAATTCTCAAACATCTTTCCGCTTGGGTTCTCTATTGTCTTTAATAAGCTTCATTTGAAATTATTGTTCAAGATTATAAAAGCAGCACTTCAATGTTTTGTTTTACCTTTGGATAATTTCAGTTACGGGGCCTGATTGGACCGATAACCGCAAAGTCCAATTGATTTATTTCCAAGAATCTAAACAATAATATTTTGGAAAGTTATATACCTGAAAGAACAGCACGAAGCACGCCCACTGGTAGTATGTATAATATTTCTTGGGCACGTTGATCTCAAAATCGCCTATCACACCTGGAGCCACGACTTCGGTTCCCACCTGAAAGTTTTGTAGATTATACAACATTGAACGTGAGAGGTAATGAAAGGGAGGATGGAAACAAATACTATTAATTGACGAGCTAACTACAAACTAACTAATCATAGTTCCCTTGCTAGTTAGCAAGGGAACTATGATTAGTATGATTAGTATAGTAATACTCAAGTTCTTTTATGATTACAAGTAAGCAGATGCAGTGCCATTAAGAGTTTTAAATAGCAAAGACATTAATTGACAAGTCTCGTGTGCCTGTAATTTCACCAGCACCTTACCCCTTAAAACCAAAACGCAGTAATGCACACACTACTACTTGACAGCAGAAATAGGAAAGGGTACTACCTTTCCTATGACCTGGACGAGCTCTTTCACCTCCTACTCCATCCTAGTAGTCCATATTTAGTAGCAGTAGAGCTCCTTGCGAAAACTTCGTTCAAGGAAGTACTGCCAACTTACCGTTCCGATTTGGAAGGGTAAGATGAAATTCCAGGTGCAAGGGACTTGTCTACTTATGTTTCAGGGTGACGGGCGCAGTAGCAGTGCCACTAAGATCTTCGCGGTTTAAAGCTCTGAGTGGCACTGCAACTGTCATGGATATACGTGGCGCAAACATTGTTCGTCTAGAATAAAAATAATAAAACAAAAGGCGACGTAATATCGCCTATAAATGCAATAAAAAATTTCATTGAATTTAAAGAAATGGGAATTTCAAGAAGTGGTCATTTGCAGAAGTGGTTATTTGAAGATGTTGTCATTTCTCATTGTGGTTCTAAACCGCAGAAATGAAACTGATATAGATGTAGTGTATTTTTGTTGTGTTTATTCGATTTGACGGATGGACTTTATGCCAAATGGAATTAATGTCATACAATCTAGACACCAGCCAAAAGATGGAGGATTTCATTATCCACTTCCTTTTCGTTCCGCAGTAATTTACATTAAATTGAGTCTTTTTAAATATGTTGGAATTTCGGTGTATATTATTAAGTAAATAAATGACTCTCTGCCATATGTCACGTTCACCAAATATGGTTACGACACAGGAAAATTAATAATTGTCTGTACTTATTTTTCCTTGTTATTGACCAATTGTAATTTCTAATGCGTCACCGCTTATCTGTGTTGGGGTGTTTTTAAGTACCTATTAGTTACCTTAGAATAATAACGAATATAATGATAGTTTCATATCAAACGAACTGTCACAAGAGAGGCAAAAATCAAATTCATGTAGGCTAGTTTTAGTAGTAGGTTAATAATCGGTTTTCGTGAATATTTATATAAAAATAGAAGCTGAAACGCGTTACTTCCTTGTGGAATGTGATGGTAGTATCTATTTTATGTTTGTCTGACGTATTTTTACACTCATTTACCGCACATTTCGTCATTTTTAGCTAAAATTCTGGAGCTGTTCGCGGTGCAAGTTGACCTTGAGCACTGAAGGCCCGCCCGCCTCACTTAGCGTGTGCGGGCTAGGTTTCTATGCGTTATTATTCTAAGTTAGTTACATAGTACATAATCGTCGATGTCGGTGTAGAAAGAGCAAAAGCGCCAATTCGAAAAAAAATTCTGGGGTGCATGCTTTAGGTTTTAAAGAAAATATTTACGTTCTGTTTTAAAATTCAATTTTGGTTTTAATTAGGTTTTAGTAATAAAGAAAAACATGTTCCCTGAATTTTTTTGACCATTTAAAAAAAAATCAGAAAACTTTCGCCCTGTTTACAAAACATAATACATGTTTTTTTGCGGTTTGATAAGTCCGTGACTTTGAGAATACGAAGAAAATATTTTTTTTAAATTATGATTTATTTTTCTACATATTATATCTCATTTTAACACTATACACCTTGACCAGCTATAATCCAACTTCTTAAACCCATCAAAAAAAAATTTTTTTGTCAAACTGAAAATTATGCCTCTTTCTTTTTTTTTTCATTTTTCGGCTTTTCGGATGGAGCCTGGAGCCATTAATAAGATTTTATTTAACTTTATTTAAAAACAAGGAAACCTAATCACACACTATACACTAATTACAGAAAATACTACGTAAGCTATAAGTAAAAGATAGAGTAAATACAAAAAATTAGACAAATAACTCTAACGGTCCCTAATTCAATTAATTTGGAATTAAGACAGTAAAAATTAGTCAGTAGTGTTTTTATTGTATTATTATGTATGTTAGTCTATAAGGCATGTATTTATGGGTCTTTGTTACCTGAATGCAAATAAATAAATAAATAAACATGTCCGCCAAAAGCGCCTCTTCCAGCTATCATTTCACTTCCAATATCAGATATCACTTCCTCATTTAATTCAAATCGGTAAAAAAATCAGAAAATAATGTCAAATGGGGTTAAATCTGATGTGAATAAGGGGGATGCAGCAATAGTTCGTAGGTATTATAATTCGACAAGTTTTGATGTTCTGATTGCGGATGAGAAACAGAATACTCAAAATTCCGGTTTTATGCGTCTTCAAAAAATATATCGACCTCACCTAATTTCTATTTTATTTTCACGGCAATTCAAAAAATAACGTCAGTTGCTCAGAAGAATGCTAAATTAAGGAAAAAAAATGCGATATAAATAATTAATTATTTTATGCAATCGTTGCATAATGAGGGTTCATATTGTCGAGTACCGTGTTTACGGTGTTAAGTAAATAACACGAGATACTTTTTGTACGAGTAAATAAAATAATAAAACGCAGCCAATATTTTAATGTGTATTTTATTAACAATCCATGATAACAAACTCAAACAAACGCTCCAAAACAAAAAACCAAAGAGAGAATACAAGTGGACAAGTACCGCTTAGATATGAATTACTTCTTTTTTTTCATAAATGTTTGTCGACCCAGCAAACTACAACGAGAAAAGCCCTAAGCGCCCAATGACATTCAAATATAATTACATGCTTCGGGCCAAAGCAAGTATACTCTTAGTTTTGTATGAAAAACCCGTTTTCCTAAAGTTTTCCTAGATATCATTATGGTCTTATAGAATACATACTGCGCTTGGAAGTGAATTTTCATTGTAATGTGCAAGGGGCGTTTACGTGATTACAGGAATATCTAAGTACATTGACCTAAGAAAGTTATTTTTGTAACATAATCATCAACGAAATTAATCACGAAGTTTTGCGATTAGAAACATTATTACATATAGGGTAATAACTTCAAGGATTTTTCAAAATCCAAGCTTATAATTACAATTAATCTATTTACTCATTTTTTGGAATAAGATATTGTAGGTTTGTGTTCTCGAAATGTGTATTCTCTACTAAAACGCTGCATTTATTCTCATTTGATTGAAGAACTCCTTACAATATAAGTACAATATGATATACAAAACATGTAAATATAATTGCCCCATTTCTTAAAGGAGAACACCGCATGCACAATAATTTGTTTATTTTTCTTCATTTTTACATAAACAAATTTCAACAAGCATCTGTTAATTCTGTCCAGAATTTAACAGTATTGTTTATTAAGACAGTTTTCTTTTATTTATTTATACAAGATGACGTCAAGATAGAGGGTAATTTTACCAATTAACGTGACGTTAAGTACAACAAGCCTGATAACAGTTCTAGCGTCACTCAGAGCTTTAGGTTGCAAAGGTTTGTGGGGCACTGCCACTGCGCCCGTCACCCTGGGACATAAGCTGACAAGTCCCCTGTGCCTGTAATTTTACCAGCATCCTTACCCTTCAAAACCGGAACGCAGTAATGCCCACATTACCTCTTGGCAGTAGAAATAGGTAAAAACCAAATAGAATAGAAGTCGCCAAGCACCGCTTATATTTTAATCAATAAATAAATTTTACTAATCAGGAGGCAGTAGAGCAGGGTTTATTAACCTTTTTCTAGTCATGAATGAGCCTACGGACCACCTACGGACCCTGTCCTAAAAAATAAAGAAACTAGGATTAACTTTTACTAACTTTACTTAATTGCATAAGAATAATTTAGTGTGACGGTTGCTGTTCCATCAGAATTAGAATCAGAAGCATTTATTGTTCATCATTTATTGTCCAATAAATTAGATAGGCTCGCCACGCACTCCCGTTCAATCGACGAACCCCTTAGAGGTCTATGGACCACGGGTTAAGAACCCCTGCAGTAGAGTTTTTGAGTAGCGGTTTTTTTAAGCTACACGCAGTGCCACTCAGAGCTTTAAATCGTACTGCCACTGCACCCGTCACTCTGAGACATGAGTTGACAAGTCTATAATTTCTCTAGCACCCTTACCCTTCAAAACCGGAGCACAGTAACGCTGACATTACTGCTTGGTGGCAGAAATAGGTAGGAAACTATCACGATGTTTAGTAACGAAACTCAAGCAGTAGAAGGTTGCCTAATTGGGTCATGTATTGCGACATGACAGATATCATCTATTGCACACCGTAATAATGGGCAAAGTAGCTGGGAAGCGGAAGGTTCAGTTAAGCAGATCGGCACCAAAACCGTGGAACATTTTTGCTAATTAAAAATTTGCAAAAATGCGACGTTCTTTTTTGACAATAGAATTTTGATTGTGAACTGAAAAGAATGCCTTTGTGAAATAATTTCTGAAATCATAATTTATTAATTAAAGTAGGTACAGGAGTAGAAAAATGAGATTATGGCATTAGTTTCAAACCGCTTACCCTTTTATCAAATCCAGTAGGCATGACGTAGGTGGACATCACCCAACAGAAAGTATTCACTGTTTGGGTCCACCCTTTCTCGGTTCCTGTTCCATGGCACTCAATGGGCTTCCCGACCAGCTGGCCCGTCGTGAGGAGAATGGACCCAGCGCCAAGGATCGACGTCGTGAATACGCAATGTAGACGGAATAAAGCATTGTCCGTGTATACTTCTTGGTATTTAAGAAATTTTGATATGCTATGTTTTATTGGTGCGAATGCTGAGTACATTTTTAATTATTGAATTTTTGTGTGGCACAATTTTTATTGGATAATGGTTTTCTTTAAAATGAGGACTTATATAACTCGATTTTTTCTTTTAAATTTATTATTTAATATTTGTTGTAAATTTACACTTACATTGTTTTACACTCTATGACTACTTTTAAAATAAACAGAAGCTTGAATTCAACAGCAACGTGCAACAACAACTAACATTATTAAGTCCAGAGTTATATTTATATTAAAGTGCATAGTAATATTGTCCTGTAAATGAATCAAATAATGATATTTTTTCCTCGTCAATGACGAATATACATATTCATTATTCTTAGATTATTTTAGGACATAGTGTTGGCAAATTTTCTTTTAACAACATTTATAGGTACAACTCTAGCCTGAAAACTCATACACAGAACTAGTGGAACAGAAATTTCTCAGTAGTTTTATGAAGAAAACTGCCTACATATCAACAGAACAACTGGGAAGGAAAGTACCAATAGTTCTGTCAACAGAACTAGTGGGAGAGAAAATTCTCAGCAGTTTTGCGAAGAAAACTGTCTATTTATTAACAGAACAAATGAGAAAAAGTACCTGTAGTTCTGTCTACAGAACTGTAAAACAGAACTAGTGAGAATAAACGGTGTTTACTTACAGGATTCATTATTTTATCTATCTTCTAATTGTCATCAACTCATTATACGTTCCGCTGCTGGGCGCACTGGTCTCCTCTAAAGGTTAGACTATGTATAGTCCGCCACGTTGACTGAAAGAGCAGTTACTTCTAGTCTACCGTTGGAATTCCTAAGACGGCTCGTACCAAAGTAATAAATTTCAATACGCAAGCGTCTTCCCCGACGGTGCCCAGCCCCGCTCCTACGTTTTGCGTAGGACTGGTATTAAGGTGGTTTTCTTCCTTCGAGGCGAGACGAGACGAGGCGAGATGAGGATTAAAATTTGCATGACAAAATTTCAATTCTCTCCTAGCCTATCTTCAGTGGAAATGGTTTGGATTTACTAAGATGTAGACATGAGCGCCGCGCCGGTGTGCCGCCGCCGACAAATGCAATCGGCGCGCCGTTCAGTTCGGTCAGGCGCTCCGATCGTACGCACGCGCACGCATCCGTATTGTATATGTGAAAATGGCGACTCCAGAAAATTACTTTTCTAAGATAAAACTTTTTTTTATAAAATGTTAGTTCGCATTTGACCTCCATCTCACCTGATGGAAAGTGACGATGAGGTCGACGTTGGATGAATGCCTATTCACTTTCGCCATGAAAAGGCCCAAGTTATAACGTTCAGGGAACAAGTCTGCAGACAGGGAATTCCACTCCATAGCCGTTCGCCATATAAATGTGGAACCGTAACGCTTCGTGCGAATCTTTCGAATATCCACGACATATGGGTGGAACCTAAGTCTACGCCTAGTCCCCCGGTAATGGAAAGGGGAAAGCGGAATTAAATCGTGTAATTCCATCGCACACTCTCCGTTATATATCCTGTAAAATTCCGATAAGCTGGCAACTTTACGGCGGTGTTCAAGGCTCTGCAGTTTCGCCTCCACTAATTCCGAGTCACCTATAAGCTTGTTGGCGCAGTTGTCAATTGAATCCAAGGTGGCCAGTTGGTATGTAGCAGAGCCATCCTAAAGGTGGCAGCAGTACTCAATGCACGACCGGATTTGTGCTCGGTACAACTGAAGCAACTGTCCCGGTGTGTGTGTCCCTATGTACTGACCCGAGAGATAGGGTTTTCCGGAGAGACTACGGGCTCGACGGCAAGACCAGGCAACTGCGGGTGTCCGAGCTAAACCCTTCGCCAGTGATACGCCTTTACAGGCGTCTCTGGCGGACCCGGACTTGGGTATGGACTCGCTGGGCTTTGTGGTTAACTGCAGAGACGGACATGTTTGTCTGCCCCGGTTGCATGTGTCCGGGGCGTCTGTCTCGTGAGCAGCTAGCGCATCTTAGTAGTGGTCTAGTTGAGGGCCTGTATACGTGGAGACGCGCGGAGCATGTGAGTTGCCCTTTAAGTTGGAAGCTATGTCCGGACATTGCCGCAGGACTCTGCGACTGGCATCTCCGGCACTAGCCCGGAGAGATAGAGGATAAGCTAGATATCCTCCGGTCCCTCCAGCCACTTAGTTTATTGGGAACTGGAGAGACGTTGTTTTTTGCCCTCAGGAAGTGAGCGTGCCTTACAGCTCCACCACCAATGAGGAGATTTGGTAGTGGACTCAGAGTCGACGGCTTAACGGTGGCAATTGCTAGTTGTGCAATGCGCAACGGGAAGTGAACGTGCGCTCCGGTACATATCTACAAAATAGGGAGGGTACTGTACGTGCACCCGGGGCGGCTCACCCGAGGCACTAACCTCTCGAAGACCGGATGAAGTCAAGTGACAGAGGTCTGTGAGAACCCTGTACACTGGCTGATCTGGGGTCAGAACCTGAATTTGTAAGGTACCTGTGTGCGCACAGGTTATAGTTTCCTACTTGTATGCCCTAAGGGTAGGTAGGGAGGGTCACTATAATCAAAACTAACGTAGAAAGATATGGTGCTTGTCCCGGTGTGAAGTAACGCCTCACCCTTGAAAGAATCCCAAGCTTCCTTGTTGCATGTTTGGTCATGGATTCAACGTATCTGCCGAAGTACAAATTGGGACGACAGGTCCATTCCAAGTAGCTGGAGACTGTCGGCTATCGGTATGGATATATCACGAAAAGTCGGAGTCAGCTCAAAGGAACTCCGTTTTGTGGAGAGTAGACATGCCTGCATTTGGTAGCGTTAGATTTGACAAGTTTGGCATCGCCCCAACCGGAGACTGCTTTGAGTGTAAAATCCAAACGGCTAACCATAGACTCTCGACAAGACTGGATTTCCTCTCCACTGACCCTTGCATTGGTCAAGTACCTATCTACAACTGTGTTGTCATCAGCATACGCAAAGCTACTTGGAATTAACATATCATTGATATGCAGCAAAAAGAGAGTTGCTGACAGTACGGAACCCTAAGGAATCTATCGCCATATGTTCGGCAGAGTAGTCTTCTAAGACTTCTCGAATCGAACGTTCGCTCAAGAAATCCGAGATCCAATTGCAAAGTGGGTAGCCCATAAAAGGGCAGGTTACTTAAAAGGTTTGCGTGCCAGACCCGTCAAAGGCTTTAGAAATATCCAAAGACACTGCAAGTGCTTCACCTTGCTCGCTCCATACGTGACAGGCATACACAAGAAGATCCTCAGTTGATCGCTTTCTTCGGAATCCGTACTGGCGATCACTGAGGAAGACGTTGTCTTCAAGGTACGACAAGAGACGGTTGTTGAGTACAGTCTTGCAGAGTATGGAAGTGGCTGAGATAGGTCTATAGTTGACAGAGTCAGCTCTGCTTCCCTTTTTCGGCACAGGTTGCACGTTTGCAAGCTTCCACGACATGGGAACTAAACCAGTCTCAAGTGAGAGGCGGTACAGGCGTAGGCGTGTGAAAATAGGAGACAAGTCAGGGGCACAGTTACGTAGGACTAGTGCTGGAATTCCATCTGGCCCGCTAGCTTTATTCACGTCTAGATTCCGCAGAGTTCTAAGTACCTCTTTTTAGCGTATGCGAATTGGCGCCATAGTCAGCCAGTCTGAGGTAAAATTAGATCCAGACGCGAACGCATTGCAAAGAGTGAAGCAAAAGATTTGCCTTGTATTATGCAATGTAGGCCAGCGTCCCGTTCAGCATCAGCAGTGGTGACATAGATAGGCGACAAAAGTTAGTTAGTGACTTTATATTCAAAGATGTTTTGTTTAAAAAATTAATTTGTCAATTTCTGGCGTCGCCATTTCCACTACGCATACACAATATGGAAGCGTGAGCATGCCTACGATCGGAGCGCCTGATCGAACTGATAAAAATTTGATCACTATAGAAATATATTAAATTGACATTTTTCGATTATTTACATTTAGTTAGGTACGTAAACAAATGGACTATAGATGCACAAATTGTACCTTGATATGCTATGTTGCGTGATGTGACTTGGTGAATAAATATTAATTAATTTAATTTAATTTAATAATTTTTTTGTTGAAATAATATTAACCTTAAACATTTTTTGTAGGTAAAATTTATGTTTCGTTGCTAGTTTAAATTTCAGGATTTAATTAGAGATTAATAAAAATTCTGCTTTATATGTATAAGGAGCTTATATTATATCTGCCCTGGTTGTCACTAGGTAAATAATACGTATATATATAAAAAATCAAAGTCGTATATTCATTTCAACTTAAAATTTAATACATAACTTGAGAAAATATCATCTTTGAACATTAAATTCAGTATAATGACAATAATGGCTTTGTAATAAATAGTAAAAATTAAATTCACTAATAAAAAAGACCTTCAATTATAATTATGAAGTTTTGATAATATTTGAATGTTATAAAGCAGACTGTACACTAATGCAGGGGCGGTAAATGCCGGTAATTCGGTATCATAATTTTAATTTACGGTTATTTGCAAATTCAGCTGTTAGTGAGTTAGTCGAAACTCATGAAATTTGAAATTAGCTTAAAAAAATATGCTACTGGTCATGCTGAGGCCTAAATTGTTAATTTCAATTTGTAGCTTGAGATAAATGAGGTCAAAGTTTACCAAGTACGTACGAAACTGTGAAATAAGAAAAAAGCTTCGGGAGGGAATCGACATTCCGCCTATTTACAAACAACTTCATTTAACTATTCAGGCGTTTCAAACATTATCCAAACTTCAATACAATTAATTCGCTACCTTTCTCACTCGACAATAACTAAATTGTTAAACAAACCTAATATCCTAACACATTTTATTTATAGTTTTGAGAATTCGTAATATCCAACAATATACAGAGCTTCAGTTGTAATGCCTAGTTATAAAATTATACATTATTCTATAATAAATGCGAACATATTTAGGTACTTATGTTTATTTGTTAACCCTATTTTGTTTGAACAGCCTAGTTATTTTCTTTTTGCTTAAAATAACAGATTGATGCAGTACTTGGTGCAGAAGGAATTTATATACTCTAAAGTATAAATTATAAAGACAACACTTTTTCTATTTAGGCTTTTGGGTGTAGCTGCAGTATTCGAATTGCCATAATATAATTTGAGCTCTTATTCATATGAATTCTAAACTGAAACTTCGTAGGAACTTTAGTTTACTTCCTAAGACATGCAAAACTTAAACTATACGGTTGTTGTGATTATAATACTTCGTGCAGATATCTGATTTGAGCTTTAATATCATGCTTATAACAATAACATAAAACCCCTATAATTTTAAGCATGTATTAAATCCCAATCTGAACCCGATCCCCAGACTGTGCACAAACTCATTTTGTTCAAAATTATAAATAGGTAATGAATAATTGAATAGAAAAAGAATGAGATTTCTCAAATGCGATGAATTAAAAATGTTTTATAAATACGTCTACTAAATTCAAATGGATATTAGATATGAGCAAATCAAAACCAAAAAACTAAACAACGAATATAAAAATTCACTACACATGTAATGAATTCTTATTTGTGACTAATCCACCTTTCGCTTATTTTTACATTGTATTTCACAAATTTCTTCATTATATTATATACTATTCAGTTTTTTTACACAATCATCGCTTGACTGATACAAACCACTCACTCAAATGATGGCATACTTATCAATTTCACACAAAATTCGAAGGACAAAAGTCCTTATACAATATTGATACACACTTTACACGCGATCAAACTTAACAATCGCAATAACTAGCTGAATATTCAGGGCAAAATTGTAAATTACATCAAAATTTCCCAAAAGGGATGTCATTTTAATAATGAACACTTGTTTGTCACAACTTTAATTGTTTTTTTGTCGAAAGAATAGCACATTTTGTTATGCGACAGTCTTATTTCAAGGAATGTTTGAAGACGAATGATAATACGAAGATGAAATTGAGAAAGATTTTATCCAGTATAGACATGCTGAATGGTCTAAGGTTGAAAAGAAAAAGGTCCCTTAACACTCTTCCAAAAAGTCTCGTTTAACATATACATACGAGTATGTAACAAATTCTTTAAAATAAGATGTCGCTTCTCCACTATACTTAGATTACAATTGAAAAAATCTACCCAAAAAGTCTTTTAATTTTAAAATTCATAATTTACATGTCAAAAATTCACAAACGCTCGTTTATACGAATTTCATCAAATATATTATACAAAAACCCAGAGAACCAAATACATTGTATATTAGTCAATATATTATTTGTTTCTTTGGGGCTCTACATAGATAATAAATACTAAAACGGTAGTATATCACAATATACGACAATATATATAAAACTGGTATCGCTGGTACAATACTGAACCTCAAATCTTATTGGTTTCGTTAGAAAGTCAGTATACTTGAACCGGAAAGAAATAGACGCTCTATGCGTGTCACTTCCGCTTAGACCGCTGACGTGAAATTCACGACGTTCTTATTACATCGACGTAAAGCTATTCTTTTTCTAGTCGGCGATTCCGTGTCGACTCCCTTAAAAATAAAACTAATAATGTAATCCATAAAGGCCCATTCCCGGCAATTGGCCTGAATTAATTCACCTTCGTCTCTTTGTACAAGAGAGAGCAGTTGTAATTTTAACACACGTAATAAGGAAAGGAATGTTTTAGAGCGGTAATCGGATTTATAGATACATATTGTCAAATTGCCATTTTGATACACAAAGAAGTCCGGTATTTACTTCTTTCTCGTTCTCGTAACATTTCGGGTCCCGGTGTCAGTGTGCATTAAGCTTAATTTAATGAGACAAACATAACGTTAATTTTGATTGAAACATACAAATAGATCGACATACACGTCAACTATAATACAAATCCATTCATTCTTCATACAAAACTCAATAAGGCAGTAACAGTCATTTTAGTTCTATTCAGTGCTTTTTTATTTTTAATATTTTCGCAAAAATGATAAATGGGAACGATAAGATTGTTTTCATTGTGCTTTTTATTGATATGCCTACGAAACAATACTTTGGAGAAATTTTATCCACACTAGCTGCCGATTTTGTTCCAAAAATAACCATTACAAGTGCCAAAAAACTAGGCCTTCACAATAATTAAGAACCTCCTCCTGTTTTGAGGTTCTCAAAACAGAATTGAAAACCTTTTAAATTTCGGAAACTTGTAAAATTGGCACCTGTGCTTAACATTCTTGTCACTAAGTTAAAATCAAAATTTTGTTAAATTTCAGGTCCCAAAAATTCCATATAAAAGTTGCAATAACAAATGCTTATTAAAAAGTCACTAAGTATAAATACAACCATAGTACAGCATGCGTAGCATGTAAAGTAGATGTGTATTAAAAAATGTCTAATAGATACAAAAATGTACATAGCGATCCCAAAAAGGGTAGATAAAGTTTTAAATCCCTTAAAATTCTTCAAAAGGCTTTTTAATCACACGTTTAAATTTAACCAAATATACTAACTTCAACCTTGGTATATGTGAATGGATATTCAGATCTCATGGCACAATTAAAACGGTGTTGCCAAGTAACTAAGTTGCGAATGCTTTGATTAGGCAACAAGTTTTTTTATGATAGTTCGAAAATTGATGTGATGCTTGTGAATGAATAACTCGAAAAGTCGATTAACTCTTC